TACAGCAAGAAGTTGCTTGTTTTCCTCACAGGATAAAACTGCTTCTGTGTTTAATTCCAGCGTACTGGAAAACCTAAAATTACAGTTTTTGACTGTTAAAACTACCAGTATGTAGGTGAATCCAAACAATAGCTGAAATGTTCTTATTTACTGAAATTGTTTTGATTTATCAAGACAAAACAGAATGATTCATGTGATGTTTTCCTAAAAGTAGCTTGCCAAAAGCAACAGGTGCCTGTGAAATGTTTGTTTTGCTGGGAGATGCAACTTCCTTGGGAATTCCTTCTGCCTGTTCTGTTAAACAGCCCCAAGCAGAGGATGGCCCTGTCCTGGCCACTGGACCTCCTTCCCTGTCACCCTGGACAGGCACAGAAGCTGCTGCCACTCCAAGTGCTGATTTAGTTGGCTGTTTTTTCTTCACTTTTGTCCTCATCTTTACCTTGATTGCAAAAGAATAATTAACAAATTAGTACTTTCTTATCTTGTTCCTGGTAGTCTGGTTTTTAAGGGTTTGCCTGTGGCACTGTGGTGTGCAGGGTTCCAGGAGCATGTCCTGACCAGCCCTCTCTGGATGTGGGGATGGAGCAAATAGTGATGACCTCTGGGCTTGTTTTCTCTTTAACGTTCTGACAATCTTTACCCCTTCACTTCTTTGGTGCAGATCCTTTTTCAGAAGTGACAAACACGTGGGGACAGCACACTTGAAGCTGGACAAGCTGGAATCAGAATGTGAAGTTAGAGAGATCATCGAGGTAGGTTTTTTGGATGAGGTGTGTTCTTCTGCTCAGAGTTCCCAAAGGGGAAATGAGTATCTGGATCACATAAACGTGACTGGAGTCAAGTTTTGTATTAGGTGAATTTGATAACCTGCCTGGGTTGTGGGGCACCTGCTCTGCTGAGCTCCAGTCCAAGGAAGTGCTTGGCTGTGACACTCCCAGCACTGCAGTCACCTGCAGGGATCTCTGTCACGCTTGGGCCACAGGCAAATGCAGTCACAGTTGCCTGAGGCTCTATGGTTTAACATTGTATTCCCTATTTGTTCTAACTGTTCTTCTTTTGGTGGTTATTTCAGATTTTTGATGGCAGAAAGCCCACTGGAGGGAAACTGGAGGTAAAAGTGAGACTCAGGGAGCCCCTCAGTGGTCAAGATCTTCAAACAGTTACAGAAAATTGGCTGGTCCTTGAGCGTTAGTTCTGTCTGAGGTATGAGCACTGTGTCCAGAGGTGGTCTGGGCAGGACTTGACAGGGCTAGAGGGAAACTCTGCTTGAACAATGTCTTTTGTTGGCATTGACCTCATTACACTGCTCTGGCTTCAGCAGCATTCCTCTTTATATTGTGGTGGGGAATTGACATAATTTCATAAATGAGGTTACAGAATCTCTGATTAGTCTGTATCTCAAAGATGCTGTTTCACAATCATTTGAGATACAGGGACAGCTCCTGCTGTCACCTTTACTAAGAATATTATTTAAAAAGTAAGTGATAAGTAATCCATCTTCCTTTGCTTGATCTCCTGAAGCTTCTGTGCTCCCTCTTCCTTAGCATATGGTTTCATTTTACATTTCTAAATGGCAGTTAAGCAAATATTCATCAGCTTTGGAATGACATCACCTGTTTGGAAGCAAAGGAGTGGTAAATGGTGTCAGATTGTAGAGACTGAGGTCTCATTTCAATACAGGAGTCACAGTTTGGCTGTCAAAGGGCCTGTTTTAGTGGTTTCCTCCCAGCCAAGGAGGTCAGGAGGTCCTGTGAGCTCCAGTCAGGCTGAGGGACATGTTTGATGCCCGTACCTGAAATAACAACTTGGCCTCGTGCCCAAGCACTTTCCATCACTGCAGCTTAATAGTTTTGCTCCATTGATTTTCCTCGTTGACCATCCAGAACCTTGGTGTCAGCATTTTCCATATAATGTCTCCTTGAACTGTGAACATCTGTTCTGTACTGCAGCAAGGAATTCTGATGGGTTTGTTTGTGTTGTTTTCCCCAGATCCGTGGGAATGTTGGAAGTCGTGGGCTGAGCGAAGGCAGGAAGATGCTGCTAAGCTGCAAGCACCAAAGATGTTAAACGAATGCACTACTGAACCTAATGTCTATTTTGATAACAGCCATAGTGCTTATTAATAACTCCAAGGCAAACGGGAGGCTCTGGGAATGCGCTGCTGCAGGGCTTGGGGCCGGTCTACCCGAAATAGACAGAATTGCCTTAATGTGGGACTACTGATGTAGCACCAGGATGAATGTTACATTAACTATGCAGAGTGCTGTGGGAAAGGTTTAGCCCATTAAAAATTCCCTGAGGCAGTGCCAGAGCTTTTTGGTTAAGTCACAGGTAAGACTTTCACCAGAATTCCTATTCCCAGGTGTCTGAGCAGCCGGCGTGGTTCAGTGAACAGTCTGCTACTGCTGTGTCTGTCCTCTCCTATCCACACCTGTTTGGGTTGGGGTCTTTTTTTGTTTCCTAAATCAGAGGAGAGCTCTCAGGCAGCAGTTCAGGGGTGCCGGTCCCTCCTCTGTGCCCACCCTTGGCACATGAGGTTCCAGGGGCTGTCCCTTTCTGCAGGAAAGGCCCCAGGGCCCCCAGCAGGTTGGTGTTTACAAACCTGTTTTTGTTCTGGCTCCCAGCTTGCTGCACTGCCTGTCCAGCACAGAAGGGTACTGTGCCTTCATCCTTTACGGTGTTGGGGTTTTAATTTGAAAAGAAGAAAGTACACTAGACTCTGCTGCTTCCCAAATGTTCCTTGTATTTTTACAAAAATAGGCGTTTACAATTCTTCCAGGTGATGGGGAAAATAGTCTCATTTTGTCCTTTAAGAAAACTGGATAGTGGCTTATTTTCAGGAATGCTTTTTGATCAGCAGCATACAAGAAAGGGTACTAAATCTTTGTGTTTTTAAATCTCTGTGAGCTAACAGAAACCAGGGATCTCCAAGGGGAGGATGTGCCTGTGCCAGGGATGGGCAGGTTGGGAGACAGAACAGAGTCCAGACAGGTCAGCAGCTCTGCCTCTGTCTTCCTGAGCAGATGAAGACAATACAGTGTTTAGTTTTTAATTTCAATAAATTTAATATACAAAACTACATGTTGAAAATAAAAATATAATATGCAGTTTTTTGCAGTGTTAACTAACTGAATTTTAAAAGTACATTTTTTTTCTAAACAAGTACTCATTTCTTAACAACATGGTAATTAAGGTCATTTCAAAGGCTATGGTTGAAGCAGACATGTCAGTCACCAGTTGATAGTGTTTTGCACAAACAAAATCCAAACCTAAAAGACTTCTGGGGCAAAGGAAGAGAAAATAAACATTTTTCACCTCTTTTACTGCATTATTAAGCTTAACAATGCAACTAAAGTAACTGGAAAGCTGCTGCTGTGGCAAAGCTGGAGTGCAGGCTCTAGAGGAAGATTATTACCAGGTTTCTGGAATGCTCTTCCAGCTGTGGAACTGTGCCTACACCGTGTGGTGCCGAGCTGTGTCCCAGTGTGCAGAACCAAGGTGCAGAAGGGATCAAGTGGCCTCAGTCCAGCTGGGCTGCACAGGCAGCTCAGCAGGAGCAGGGGCTGGGTCACAGCTCCTGCTTTGGCCAGCAGGAACCACTAAATGAGCTCTACTAAAGTCACCCTCTCTCTCCCAAATGCCAGAGGTAAGGCTTCACTTGGATCTGACACCCTTTAAAGTGTGGTAGTGTGCTCCCTCTTGCTGGCCAGCTTTTGTTTGTGGAGTTGGCCCCAGTTCCCTGGACTGCCTTCTCTAAGGGCTGGGTGGTGCCAGCTGTGATTTGGAACGTTGGAGTTTTCATACTTTTGTTTTTTGAAAAGCAGCAGCCATTTATTCCCAAGTGCACTCTGTGCAGACACTGGGCTGCCTTTCCATAAAGTACATCACCCTGTGCAGGTACCTTTCCCTTACCCAGCCAATGGTGTTGATTTGTTTAAAAACCAGAGCCTCAGTCTCACAGTGGCCTGGCAATTCTCTTTCTCTTTGCAAGGCCACTGGTGTTACTGTGTCACAGCTTCCCCCAGAATGGACGGCAGTAGGGAGTGTATGACACCACAAATGTTCAGCATTAATTAGCGCCTCTCATCCCAAATTAATTAGTTCCAGACAGAAGGAGAAACCTTCACCCCTCTTCCTGGGAGGGACTCAAGAGAGTTGCTTTGCATGACTGGCTAAACAAACCAAACCCCTTCTCCTGCTTACAGCTCTTGCCACTGGTTAGCAGCTTTCCATGGAGACAGTAAGAACATGGAACCACATTTCCTCTGGCTGATGCTCAATTCCAGCTTCTTAATGCCCTGGCAGACAGGAGCAGCTGCACTCCTTACCAAAGCCCTCTCAGGTGAGACCAAGAGCACTGGGCCGAGTGCACATGTTCAGAACTGACCACAAAGCCTTTTTCAGCAGAACATGCAGGAACAGCCACTCTACACTGATATCACAGGTAAGCTTGGACATGGGGCTGCAATATGAAGTACAAGCTGGCTTGGGTTATGTGACACTGGCGTTACACTACAGCGAACAGCAGGGAAGGGACAGAGCTGCCCTGGCTGGGACTTGCCTCTCAAAAGCAGGACCTACTGGGGACAAGGAACAAGATGGAACTGCACTTTAGGGCTGATCTTTCCTCTGCTTCAGAGAGATTTGTAAACAAGGTACAGAATAGCAGAGTTGTTGTAGGAGATCACAGAAACCTGCCCAAAGTGACAGACTTTTGTGGTAAATAGAGGAGAAAAGGAAACTAGCCTATTACACACACACAACTGCAGAGAAATGTCTGTCCTGCTCCTCTGCATGCACAGACAAACAGGGTTATGGCTAGGGAATCTTTCCCTGTATCTCAAGGGCTTCTCCAAACTTATTTCAACCAATAATCTGGTCAAAACAATGTAAACGTTACTTTTTAATGTCTATAGAATAACCACAAATGGCATTAGGATGAGGTCAGAATGGAGGTCTTGATTGTTTCTTACATGTCCATCTACAGACAGTACAAGGTTGGAATTTCACTTTTTATTTACGCCCCAGTGATCTTTGCACCCTTTGAGCATTTAGAGTACATGACTGTAAGTCTTTAAACATGAGCATTTTTCTAAACAATAACAGAAGTGGATTAGCTGCAAGGATAGCATAGCCATGTTGTAGTATAGAAGCTGCCCTGATCCTCTGGTTGTTGACAATGCATAGAAGATTTAGAATTATGGAACAACTGTCCCACCCCCCTCCCCCCCTTCCCCAATAGTGTTAACAAAAGCTTAATTTTCCAGTTTTAAAGTGCAAATGATTCAGATACAACTGCTGCTGGAACAGGTCTGAACAGAAAATGAAGTCCTCTTATGAGATGTTTTCCAGAATATAAAAGATGAGCTCCATTATGACTGGCCCCTCACTCAACTGACAGGCCCCTCCATGAATCACTGGCACTAAGGCACTGTCCAGGTCATTCATGTATTGAGAGGGCAGTGGCTGTCCATTGCTCCCAGCTTGATAACCAACCTAAAAAATACAAAGAGTGGGTTTTAAGAACAGGACACGAGGCTGTGAGTCAGGGGGCAGGAAGGGAGGAGGAGCTGTGGTGTCTCCCAGGGAAGTCAGGAACTTGAACTGGATCGAGCAGGCGCTAAAGCAGCTTTTCCACATGTCTTTGTATTTCTTTGTGTTCCCAGTGGCTGCCTGAGCAAAAGGAAGCTTTTTCTCCTGTTTTCTCAAAGCAGCTCCTTGGGATGAGCAGGATGCTCACACAGCAGTACTTGCTGGCAAAAAGGCCAATTAAGAGTCTCTGAGCACAGAACAGGCGCTGCTTGTGCCACATGGGGGTCAAGCCTCTGTTAGTTCAGGCTGGGCCTTGGATCTAACAGATGTCCCAAAACACCAAACAACAGCCAGCAGCACCTGACTAGCATCTGATATTGCCTCAGAACGCTCTTGGTTTACGTGGTGTATTCCCATGCTGAGGAATGAACAAGAGAACAATCCCCCAGTTAAACTCAGACTGTTGAAAACTTACTTGATCTGAGTCCAGTGTAACACGCAGACCCAGCTTAGTCATTCCATCTTCTTTCAGCAGCTTCAGATGAGGACACAGAGCCAGACAGAAAGCTTTTGCCACATTCTCAGTCAGTCTGCTGTGATCAGCTGGGTCACTCAGACCATTGTGTTGCTCATCATTTTCTAGGAAAAACACCTGAAGGGAAGAGTCAACACAAGACACAACACTTGGTTTTTCTAGAAAATTCAGGTCAGATGTCATTTAAACTTCTACAAATGAAGACTTAAGAAGTAACTGTTCAGGGAAGCCCAGCAAAAACCCCTAAAGACAAGTCACCTTAGGGAGGAAAAAATAAAACTTCAAAAGAAAGATTTAAGTTTAAATAGTCCTCTGAAACCTCTTAGATCTGATCAAAAGCCTTGCTACGGAAATTCACTATGTATTGCACATGGTTTTAATAAAAACCTGCTTTTAAAAAGATGTTAAATTCAGAAAAATTATACTTTTAATACAAACCCGAAAATCTCTGGTATTTTTGTCACTGAACTTGTTTCTGTTGAGCCCAAGTGAGCTGGGAAAAAAGGGCACACAGGGGCTAAGCTGCAGAGTAAGGAACCTGGTTCCTCCTCAGCAGGCAGCGAAACACTTAAAGAAATATTTTGACACCAGCATTTGTGTGCTAGCAGAGTCACAGGCACCATCAGCCATGCAAGCAGTTTCAGTGTGATTTATGCCACAACACTTTAACATGCAACATTTAAGAGAAAGTGGCTTGAAATAACATTTCTGAAAAACAATTTATATGAAGATTTGTCTCCATGTAGAAAGGCAGTTTTTAACACAAAGGCAAATGAAACCAACTTCTGTGTGTAAGGCAGGCAGTGTTGTTGTGGTTCCCCCCATGCTGAACAGCCCGATGTGAGCAGCGGTGGCTGGCGCAGCGCGGGCTGTGGCTGTGTCAGGGGGAGGATGTTTTATCCCGCAGGATGCCCCCCTGTGCAGGCAGGAAAGGCACCACAGCCTCGTGGGAAGCACGTGCTGCTTCCCTGTGGTGACTGGGGGAGCAGCTGGCCCAGCCCTGGCTGCAGTGCCGGGCTGATGGACCCACCTCCGTCCAGCGGATGACCTTCCCGTTGGCCTTGTACTCGGAGCCGTGGAATATCTTCACACTGGTTATGGATTCCATGGATTTGCCATCAATAGGGCTCACAACGCTGCAAAAGGGAGGGAGGAGGGTGAGCTCTGACTCAGCACAAGACCTGAGCTGGACAGAGCCCTCTGCAGAAGAGAAGGACCTTGGAGTCCAAGGGCAGTTCCTGAAAGGGGTCACATGCGCAATGCAGGTGCACAAGGACCTTCCTGAAGGTTTCCCACAAAGCTTTGCAGCAGAGCTGAGATCCTGTAAGGTTCTGACAGAGTAATGAGGTGTTTCATACAGGTTGAATTTTTGCTCATTTGTAAACTCTGTGTAGGCCATCAATACCTGAAACACAACTTAGACAGCCCAGGACTAGACTGCAGAACCCAATATTGATCTGGAGAGCCTGAAACTACAGAAATATCCTTCTTTCTAGGTGCTGAGTCCTGAAATATGGAATCCATCACAACAGCACTTTACTGTCATAAATACTTCAGCTGACAAATCCACCTTCCTTTTGGCTTCACTATTAAGTGTCCAAATATACTGTTGATGTTCAGCAGTTTTGTTTCCAGCTCTACTTAATGCAAACTAAGCACCAACAGTGCAAAGTGACCACAATGTGCAGGGTTCAGCAAGGAGAGTTGGAGACAGATTCGTGGTTTTCAATAACTGGATATTGGCAATGCCAAAAAAAATCCATAGCATTGCCAATATTCTAAATTGATGCCCCAAAGCTCTAGTATCTCAATTCCATTTTCATTACAATTAATTGCATCTTATCACTCAAAACAGAAGTGCAGACTTTTAATTCCTATTGATTGGAAGACTCATGTGCCTTACAAGATCAATTAAAAATTTTAACAGGCACCAACAGTCAAGTGCTCCTCTACTTACCCCTTATTAAAATTTTTATCATCTTCTACCCACTGAATGTGAACGTGTTCCTGAGGGTCTTCAGCATCTACTTTGCCACAGGTGATGGTGAAGTCTTTCATCTCTCTCAAGGCCTGTCTCAAAGAGTCCATGTTCTCAGCAGTTATCTGGACCATCACTCCATCTAGGGAACCAAGAAATCCTCATTAGCCAAGATAAGCCATGCCAAACAGAGCCTATACAGAAAAAACAAACATCCTTCATCTGTTTGCAACAGAGGTTAAATGTTCATTTTAAGCACCATGGGCAGCAGTGCTCCATAAACCCACTTCTGAACAGTCACCTTCCTAAACTGCAAACCTGCTGAGTGCTGATGAGGGAAAACACAACAGTAAGAGAAGGGCAGCTCCCAGGTGAAGTCAGCTGTAGCAAAGTCTCTGTGAGTTTGCCTCACAACCTGACACCTGCTCTAGGCCACCCTCAGAAACCCCACATGACACTGCTCCATTGAGCCATCTCCTCTGTTGGCTCTGGAAGCAGCACTCCAGCAGTGACAGTGGTTGAGAAGTCAGTGCTTGCCTGACAGTGGCAAAGAGACAGAATTTGGATTCACAGAATTAAGGTTGAAAAGACCTCCAGGATCATCCAGTCCAGCCATTAACCCAGCACCACTTTGGCTCAATCTCAGTTACAGCAAAAATAACAGGATTGAAACACTTCCCCATGTAGAGACCCCCCCCCGTGCCTCTGTCTTACCCTACCCCCCAATTAGACACAGGAAAGGGCACAAGGACCTGCAAGCTCTGGTGGCAGGGGGCTGCCCAGGGACCCCAGCCATGGCCACACACTCAGAGCTGCGAGCCTGGAGCTGCTGCAGCACGAGGAGCTCCTGCTCGCCTGCGGGCACCTGGCATCCCTCACCACCGAGGGCAGCAGCCTGCACTGTCACAGGTGCAGGGACCCGACTGCACAGCTGTGCAGCTCAGCTAGCAGGCACTAACAGCTTCCAGCCAGAGCACCCCAGGGCAGCTCCTTCTGTGACACAACAAACCAAATCCGAGAGGGACCAGCTCGGTGCTCTCAACCTGTCACGTTCTCTCTGCCCACATACAAGCACATAAACAATGCACATTCATACCCCAGCACACTCCAGAGCTGTTTGGTAGCAGAGGAGGTTTAGCAGGGCTTCCTCTGCTGGTTGGTGGATTACACATTCTGTATTTCTTAGGCTCACAATTTCCTCATTCAACCCAAACCAGTGAATCGATCACAGGCTCCCAAGCCAAGTATTTCATATCTTACCCTCATTTTCTTGAAACCTGTATTGCAGCATCTGCACAAATTCCTCCTTGTTAAAGGGAACTGGGTGGTTTTTGCTTAGAAGTAGGATAAAGCTGAAGCAGCAGCAAGACGCCAAGGCCCAAGGCATGTGAGCAGAGAGAGCCCTTTTAGCTGCAGAGCTGAGCTGGGCAAAGAGAGAAGTGTGCTTTAAGGAAGCAATTCAGTTCTTACCTTCCACTATACTGGATTTGGCAAGGTAGCCTGAAGAGGATTTTAAAGCTCCGCTGAACACAAAGAAGCTGGCACCAGTCACTGCAACAACAACAACAACAACAGGAGAGATTTAGTGAGGCTTTTGTCAAAGCAATGCCTTACCCAAGAATCAGATATCAGCTCTATCAGCCAGAGGTGATTACCCTGAATAAGGACTAATGCTGCTTGGAATTATGGAAGCTCCGCTGAACACAAAGAAGCTGGCACCAGTCACTGCAACAACAACAACAACAACACGAGAGATTTAGTCATTCTGTGGAATAAATGCCTTACCCAAGAATCAGATATCAGCTCTATCAGCCAGAGGTGATTACCCTGAATAAGGACTAATGCTGCTTGGAATTATGGTGCCTGTATTGCACATCACAAGCCTGGATATGCAAAGGCAAATCACCCAGTTATTTTCTAAACTGGACAACAGTTTTTGTCTAAGTTAATGTTTGTCACTCTCATTAACTTTGTCTAAGTTAATGCATCTCCCTCTCCATGCCCTACACACCTCGGAGTTCCAGAATTACTAATTTTGGGCAACCAAGTACACAATTAACTTCTAAAGGTTCCCATACAGGTGACAGATTGTGAGTGAGCTGTTCATGGATCACACTAACACCAACCCACCAGCAAGGCCACAGCTCAAAGCCACTTGACTCAAAGGAAAATTATCTTCAGTTACTACTAAGCATTATGAAATTCCTTCTGGAAGTCCCTCTTCTTGTTCCATAGGTGAAGTTAACAGAAGTCAGACAAGACCTTCAGTCCCAAGTGGCATTCCATGCCAGTACACCTGCTAGAGTCATTAGTGATACTTGCAAACCTCCAAATCAGCCTCTGTCTTGTTCACATTTGGAGACTGTATAAATGTCTTTGCCAGAAATGTCCCCAAACACACAACATTTAAATTCTCAGCACACAGCTGCTGCAGCCCTTCAGCCTAGTGTAACAAAAATATACCCTGGAAATTAGATGGTCTAATTAAGGTGAAAATGAGAAGTTGCTTGAAGATGCATTATTACAATGCTGCTGTGGTTGGTTATTCCTATTTAACTTTCTGTCCTACTGAATCTAGTCTTTCTTTCACATAGTGTAGGTCAAGCTCAGGCAACCCCACCTGCACATCCCATAATGCCAAAGCCAGCTCTCATTATTCATGGAGAAGTGTTGCCTAAGCCACTTCCAGCACAAAGCTGCCCAGTCAGGGATGCCAGTGGTCAGACTGATTTTCTCTAACAAAAACTGGGTGAAACCCAGCCAAACTCAGCTGTAGCCAATCCACAAAGCTGGGGCAGCCACACAGGGGCCAAGCAGCCGTGCAGAGCAGCCGAGCCAGGGCTCCCCTCACCTTTCCTGGGCTGGTTGTGGATGCTGATGGCCTGTGTCTGGTAGTTGCCGTCGTCGTTCTGCACACACACCAGATGTGAGTCTGCCTTCTCGTTGAAACACGCCCCCCCTGCCAGCACGTGCTCGTTGGATTTGTTCATGGCTTTCATCATCTGCAAACACAAAGCTTCAGCATTTCCACCCAGCTCATCGAGCACTTCCAGAAACAGGTGGTTCTTGGAGCAGTTTCATCAGAAGCTTCTCAAGTTCTCACATTCCATGTCAGGTTTTAGCACTCAGAACCATAAACTGCTTCTGAGGAGAGGGTTCAGGTCTTTTACTGCCTGGTTACTTTAAGGTGCCATCTTGTGTGCAATTAAGATAAGTGGTATAAGGGATAGCTGAGCTACAGAAATTGCAAAAGCTGTTACCTCTACCTGGTTTTAAAAATACACAGGGGAAAAAAACAATGAGAGGAAATACTTGGCTTGCTTACACAACTACAGTTGTTAAGGACATAAATCATAAATGTCCCTCCACAGTTCAGTGCCACATGGGCTCTCAGACTGGGGCCTTTTCATCCTGTTCTGCCACAACCAGACACCAAAACTTCAGTGCCTCTGTGCTTCACCTGCATGAACTGGTGAAACTGGGATCAATGTTCCCAATTTAAGACTTATAAAATACATATGAATTTTCTTTCTCTGCAAAGGAGGCCTTCAGAAAGCATCCAGAAAAGTTTGTGACACATTTGCTCTTCTGCTGACTATCATCTAACACACACCGAGTTAGACGCCTCAACAAAACACCCTTGTAGATTATATAGTTTCTTTTCTCCACTATTCCTCTTCATGGAGGCTCAGACTTGGTGATTTTTGATACAAAAGCAAACTGAGGGAGTCACCCAACTCTGGAATTTGTTTCAAACAGGAAAATGACATGTTTGCTTAAAATAAAAAAAGTCAAATTAAATTACACAAATCCCCCCGCAGTGAAAACCCAGAAAAATACTGAATTATTTGACATCTCCTAACAGCACTCACACTCCCACCTCTGCTTCCTGGAGCTCATAAGCATGCAGGCTACACACAACACATTTGTCTCTCTCAGTCCAACCTTAATTACAGTGTCAGGAACATTAACTGATGCTCGCTATTGACAAATGTGCACAGGTATAATGTTTGGGGAGGAAACTTAATTAAGATTTTGCATCAGACAACAGTGGTTTTCATTATCCAGTTGACCATGCCATGCTCCAGAAACTGGATTTTAGCTCCAGAACAGTCACGTTTGTGGAGCCCAGCAGTTGCCTTCAGCACAAGAAACAACTGGATGGGGAAACTGTGCTTCCTTAGAAGGCAACTGATTAAGAAATTACAGTCACCTTTGCTGAGGGATTAAACAGACAACCTCTAAGCTTTAAAAAATTTAAATAATTTTGAAAACAAAAATATGTATTTAATAGAAAAACTATATATTAATGTGTAATTTGTTAATCACAGGCTGAATTTCCCCCATTTAATACACGCACGAGATTTCAAATTAGTTTTTCACTTTTTAGATACAGAAAACATCAGAGTAACAGTCCTTTCTAATTAAATAAAAGCAAAGGGCTTATTATTTAATTCATCTTGAGACTGGCTCAGTTGGTTAGAGGAGGGTGATGGTAACACCAAGGTCATGAGTTTGATCCCTGTATGGACCATTAACAGTTGGACTTGATGATCCTTGTGGGTCCCTTGCAACTCAGAATATTCTGTGAATCTTACTTGAAAGTAAACTCATGAAAAATTCCTATTAATACAACTTTTGAAATGAATCACATGCTACGAACTATGTTAAATAAGTAACAATTTCTCCACTTAAAAAGTTGGATCCTTGCATCACACCGGGCAGGGAACCCGAGCACAATGCAGAGGTTTTGCTACATCCCTGACACAGGAATTCCCTCTCAGTCCTGCTCAGTCCATGCCTGGCACAAGTGGAGCTGGCACCTTGCAAACAGCAGGCACAGCTGACACTGAATGGTCTGTGCCATTCCAGACTGAATTCATTCAAACTTCACTGACCTCTCCCATTCTGCACAACTGCATTAAAAATTAAAACACCTTTTAACAGACCCTTTATCTTCATCAATTTCATCTTTTTCAAACTTCATAAAAGAGCACTTTTTTTCAATGAATTTTTTTTTACTCACTTATTTTACTCGAAAGCTTCTTGCAGGGAAATTCCCTCTTGAGATAAAGCTGCATTCTGCTCTGATCTTACAAGAACTTTTACAAATACCATTCTGCTCAGGAGGTTTGCTCTCACCCCAGCTCTGACAGGTTTCAAACTACCAAGTTACCCCCCTCTCTTCAGACAGAACACGAAATCAATCCCTTCCCCAATGTTCCCTTTCATTACTGTTCAAATACCTCCTCCCCCAGCTTTCTCTAGTTAGCAGCACTAACTCCTACAGATGCTGACTGATTTTCTCACACCAGAAATCAAGTATAAAATTTCAATGTTGAGGGAACTTTTACATAAAATAATCAGCAATCCAACAAATACTACTAAATGCTTTGAGTGGGAACACATGCATGTTTTCTTCCTAGTTTACCTCAAGTGTAAAGTTTGTCAACTTACTTGCTGAAATCAAACATATGACACTTTATGTAAACAGTTCAAGAAGAAAAAGAGTTTAAGAGTTTAATTAATAGTAAATGGAACTGCATTCTTCCTGTGAAGCCAGGCTCATTCACTTCCAAAAGCTGTGTGCATCACACAATTAGTATTTGCTTTTGAGGCATTTTTCCTTAGTGATAGCGAATAAAATAAAAATTCCTCTAGATCCCAGTACTCCAATCACAAAGAAACTGTACACAAATGTATGTTTTATAAGCATTACCTCATTATATCTGTTGCTAGGTATTTTGATGCTGGTTTTTCTGACCTCCATATCAACCACTAAACCTTGGACCACAGGCAGTGTGTACTGGTAGTTTCTGAAGTCCTGAGAATTAAAACAAGATCTCAAGTTAGCCATGATCATCATCATTAACACTGTAGGTTTCATAACTATCCTGGTGACTACTGCCTGGCCCATTCAAATAACTGTAATCAGTGACTGGAAGGCAGGGAGGGACAGAGACACCACAGTGTGTAACCCATGTAATTGCAGTACACAAATGAAAAAATATCTCTTATATCAAAATTAATGTTCTCCAACCTTGAATATCATCACTGTATGTAACAAAATTTGCTCTGTGTTCTGTTACATTACTAGATGGAGTTATTAGTTTTTCTAGCAGCGAGATTAAGTCATGCATCAAAGAGAATTTCCTATATTGAAAATATTTGCAACCTAGGAAGAGATAATAACATCCCTTCAGTCAGAGCACGATGTAATCAGAGAGCTGTGACTGCACACTGTGATGACCCAGCACTTCTGAGGAAGCAGTCTGAGCAAACAATACACTTACTTCAAAATCCAAACATCCTCCAGCAAACAGGTTTGGGATATTGATTTGGGTACCTTGTTACAATTCACTGTGTTGTTGAAAGCTAACACCCACTCTCAGCAGCAGCAGGGAAATTCACCCAAATCCCCACTACTTCCTCTTGCATCTCCTGGACCTTCCAGCTGCTACATGCACCTGGAGCCCCCATCTCCCCAACACAGATCCACTCACACCAAGGGAATGCACAAATTCCATCACAGACTTACTGCAAGGAGGTTCATGATCGTGTGTCCAGTTTCTCCAAACAAAGGCTTACGGAATCTGACACTAAAAAGTGGGCATGGATAAACTGGAATGAAACAGAAAAGAACAGGTCAGATGGAAATTTACATACTCAGATTGTGCAAAACCAGACCCAAATACCATGTCCTCTGTTGAATGTGGTAAGCAGCAGCTAAAGAAGAGAGTGGGAAGACTGGAATTTAAAAAGCAAAATGGTGGAAGGGTTCAACATGTGTCATGGCTGCTTGCCCACCATGCCAGAAACAAAAATAATTATGTGGAAAGCTTACAGGTGCCACACTGCAGGACTGAACTGATGACCTGGGCCCTGATGGCAAAAATGACCTTTCTAAGTGCTTCTTGGAAATGGCTTCTATTTTTGCACAACCATCCTGCTGTTCTCCACTACAGCATCATCAGTCTTTCAGTTCTGTGGCTGACACGTGACATTCAAGTGATAACCCAGATTACTTTTATTTCCTGTTTTCATTATTTCATGAGAGTGTGGCAAACTCCACAGGGGTACATCAAAAACAATTTAAAGGACATTTATGGTATGTCAGTGATGTAAAATATCTGCATTCCTTGGCTGACATCCATACCTGTAAAACATCTGTGATGCAATTCTGAGTGCAGGGCACGGATCTGGCTGCATTACGTTATGTTGCAGCAGAAGCAATGCTTGGAACATGACTCATGCACTGGTACATAATGCCAAGGTTTCCTAAACACATGTTTGAAGGAGGATTCCTAAGCTATCCTCAGGCAAACACTCAGCCTGATTTCCCCAAATGCCACACTCCCAGTTCCCACTGTGGTCAGAAGGGACTGAAGAGCTGTCAGCATCATGTGTATAACATGAGGATTTCCTGGTGGAAATCGCTCCAGCCTCTGCACACTGTTTTGATACCTGGAAGCACCACACACCACATGGCAACCAACCCCTGCACAGTGCCCCGAGGCAGCAGCAAGGGCTGAATTTCCTGTGTCTGCCACCCTGGAGCAGCTCAGCTCCATCCCAGATGCACCGAATTCCCTGAGCCTGAGCTGTTGGGCTGATCTGTGGATGCTCAGCAGATGTTTTCTGCGCACCCAGCAACCCGAGGGCCTCCTGCATCTGATCTGCACAGCCAGCAGCACTGCACAGCACAGCACAGCTGCATTCTGACAGCTCCACCAGCAAGGAGGATGGAAGGAAACCTGGGCCGCAAAAGCAGCACCTTCCAGGAAGAAACTGAGGCAATGCCCTGCAGTCACAACTGGCACAGCTCAAGGGAATATCTCTAAATCCAAACCACAGCTGTGGGAATGATGCAAAGCCTGGCTTCCCAGGTACTTTTCCTTGTCACTATCAAAACACTTCTTTCTGTGCTCAGAAACAGATGTCATATCCAAAATACGAGCATTTTTGTTTGTTTTTCTAAATACTGATGGGAATAAATGCCCTACTTTAAAAATGCCTGCAGATACACACAAAAACCTACACACCTTTAACAAGAATGTTTCCTTGGACAAGTTTAACCTTCAGTCCTCAGCCTCAGAAGGCAAATTCTGAGGATTTTATTTTTCTCCTCCAGAAACACACGTATTTTGTGGAAAATTCCCAATGTTCTCAAAACTTTAAAAGTTAAAGTGACAAATCTCTGCACAGCTTATTATAAAACTTATTTTGTTAAAATGTTCTGTAAGAGTTCTGGGAAAAATTAGCAACAGACCATTTTCATAGTAATTTAGATTAATGAGACATGCCAATTAAAACTGAAGATGAGTAAGACATACAATTTTTGGCCCATCATGGTGGACAAACTGCCAGTAATGCCTTTGCTCCAGCAATGGTAAATGTCTACTGAAAATTATTTTAACTTAACTTTATGCCAATTTCATGCTAACTGCTAAGATTTTGTTCAGATGAAACATTCTCTCCAGCCTCTTTATGATTAGTTCCAACAGAATTTTTGCAACAAACTGCCAAGTTTGTTGCCCCTGCACACATATTGTTACTCTCTGGAAAATAAACACAGTTTTAAAAATCTAAAAGTAAATGGTCTTTCATTTCAGCATGGAAAGAGCTTAACTTTATGATTAGTTCCAACAGAATTTTTGCAACAAACTGCCAAGTTTGTTGCAAATTTTTCATTTCAGCATGTTTGTTTCATTTCAGCATGGAAAGAGCTTAATATCTCAAAGCTCTCCCTTGTGCTATCTACACCAGCTAATCAGACTTGCTCTGCACATAACTCTCAGGTCACTATATGGATACAAACATGCTCAGAACTACATTTGTCTCCACAAAAACCTCCCTGATGACCCAGCTGAGTTGTAGAAAGGCCCCATCACCACTCAGTGCTGCACTGTGGGCCTGACACACAGCTCTTCCTTGCCTGTTTGAGCCTGGGTGGCTCTGACAGGTAACAATCCATGGCTGGGGGAGTGCTGTGAAGCAGAATTCATCCATTGTCCTGCAGAAGTTACTCACGCCTGTATTCAGCTCCGAGTCTCAGCATCAGCCGGATGGGGAACACTTTGGCCCAGGGAGTCTCCCACTTCTGGATGAGGATGCCAAACAAGTAGGGTGGGGTTGGGAGCACCAGGTCCTGCAGGGACTGATAGGTCGCTGCAACATACAAGAACCCTCCGTGTTCTTTGCTTCCAAGGAAGCTCTGGCTGAAAAAGGAGTGTCCCAGGTTGCCAACAATGTTACCTATGGGGAAAAAAAAAGAGTCCATTACTTCACTGGATTGAGAGCTGGATCAAGAATGTCAGGAGTTTTCAGAAGGGAAAAAAAATCCATGTTAAATTCACTTTTCTTCCTGGAGCATTAATGTGTATTAACCACATCTGAAACAATGATTTTCTGCACACAGGTGCTCAGGTTACCTCCTGTGCAAAAGTGCCCCAACCTGGCCTTGGACACTTCCAGGGATGGGGCAGCCACAGCTGCTCTGGGCAACCTGTGCCAAGCTGTTACTGCCCTTTCAGGATATCACAGGAGAGTTCAGGCCAGTATTGCTGCTATTGGTACCTGAAACTTCCCCCTGGCACTACAGACACAAAGCCTTTTTTCAGTGCCTTACAGATATTCAAGGGACTTCCACCGCAGAAGCTGCTGTCGTTTGAACTAAACTTTTGGATTAAGCTACAGTTCAAGGAGGGATGTGCACCTGGTCAAACAATTAGTGTCCCCTGGTTGTCCTTCCATTTAGACAAGCCACTGGGTACCTGCTCAGACATGTATTGAAGATCTGGCTCATTTCAAGAATTACACAAAAGACTGTTTATTTCATTAGTACACTTAATGTAAAACGCAACTGAGAGAGACACAGGGGAGAAACAGCACTAATTTTTATTCACATTTTTACTCTTTGATGCTTCTGATTGCCAAAAATGTTTACACTCAAATGGCTGAATGAATCTGAATGTTGATTAGGTTATTATAGCATCCAACACAGCATTTAACACAGAAGCAAAGAACCATGGTGTGATTCCTTTTATCAAATGACAACAACAGCATGCAAATAATGTACAGAACAGCTGATCACAATTCTCCATAGGAAGATGTGAGTATTAACAGTGCTGATTTGCTCTCAAAGAAAAAGACAATTTCAAAGAGCGTGGTGTGCTTGATCACACCACTCATGAGAAATTGCATGGGATTGAGGTACTCATGCAGACCTCCTGGGCTTCTGGAGCAATCCCAGACTTTCCCACCTGCAGACAGAGACTGCTAAGTAGGAGTTTCTGCTCCTTCACCACCTCATAACAGAATGTTTGTAGCTGAACTCAAGGCGGTGATGTGCACATCTCCATCTGCACATCCACTGGACACCACCTGGAGAGTTTCTTTCTTTTACAGACATGACACACACACAGACAAATGCCAGGTCTTAAGTAAGTAAAAATATGAGTCACAGAAGTGATACTTTGACATCCTCAGTAATACAAGTTATAATAACACAGCTACTCCAGCCCTCCCTCTGGAGATGTGGCCATGCTGCTTTGCACCTCTCCAGACCACCTTGGCACAATCATCACTCAATACTGTCCTTCACATTACCTTGGGTCCTCCAGCTTTACATAAAGTAACTGGCACGTCTGTAAGCAAAAGGCTCCTTTTATACTCCAACTAACAAATAAGCTCAAGAAGTTCCTTATTTTTCAAATTTCAGGGCCCCTTTGTGGATTTTTTTTCTGTACTCACAAATGCTGCACAGAGTAAGTTATTAGGCTCCCTGTTAGAAGGTGACAGCTTTGGCAGCCCAGCATCCCATAGCAGGGTGAGGCTTATTCAGAGTTTGCCACTATCCTGCAAAGCCAACCTGTAATTTTACAGATACACACAGGCCAAAGCTGACACGATCATCCAGATCAAACTCCAGAACTCCCAGAGTGGCTACAACTTCTCAGCTGAGCATACTTGATGAAAAGTAGCTACTGGTCAAACTACTATGAATAACAGAACCACATCAAATGTCAGCTGCTGAGAATCCCTGCTCCTGCCTGTGTGCAAATGCAGCTCTGTCAGCTGTGCTGGGACACTAATGCCTGCTCAGTGAAACACCAATGCACTAACGTGGGCATCCTGCTAGTGAGTGCAAACCAGTGTATCCACTGGTGTTCATGAGAAAGATTTTCACTCATCTAAAATAGCTGCTGGCACTCGTTTGCTTTTGCAGTTTCCACCTACCCTCACTAATCGCCTCTTCTTCATTTATACTTCCTTTTCCCCTTCCCATCTGTTCTTACCCAAATAGAGCTACAGGCCTGATAATAAAGTTACTTGGTGAGGTTCTCAGTTCCAACAACACGATCACAATAATCCTTTTTACCCTTCAAGTGTATGACGTGTATGAACTGCCAAACTGCACTGAGTTCTGCCCCCTTTTCTGTGTATTTTCTGTGTGTGAGAGGCCAGGCAAAGTGCAGCTGTACCATCCCGTACGGATCTGAGACGTGTGGCACTGCCCACTGGAATGACAAAGCAACCAGACATTTCCACTTGAGACTGGTGCCAAGTGCTGCAGCAGAAGGGGATGACTACTTATTTTTTCTGTTTCAGGAGATGGAACCTCAAGGCTCACACGCCTGGGATGCCTTAATAATAATTTTTCAGCCAACAGAAACGTGGAAAAAACTCTCAGAGCTGAATCTGCAACTCAGCTGTTCAGCCCTTTCCTTCCATAAGCCACAGCATCATAAATTACTCCTTCTGACACAAGCAGCTTGCACAGTGCAAGATCCAAGAGGCTGCCACCACTCTAAAAGGACAAATTATTGGGATTAGGTAGCTGTGCTGCAATTCATTATTTATAACAGCTTAAGAGCCTGGATGTGGACAGCATGGGAGGAAGCAAGTGTTTTCCTACACCCTTCTTTAGTGCCCTTTTCAGTCAGCACAACCAAGTCAAAAAGCCTCTTTAGGCTTGTCCCACAAATATTTCTGCCCTGACCAGGGGCTGTCAGTCTTTCCTGCCCTGTCTCTGAAGGTGATTCCAAGCCAAGGCCCCACTGAGAAGTTGCTATTCCCAGCCTGACATTGTCAAACCAAACCCACTGCACCATTACACATTTTAAGCACAGAACTGTTTCAGAGGCTTGTAGAGAAAGTGTAGGCGTCAGAAAAACCTTCAAAAATAACTATCCTTTGCAAAAGCATGTAATTTAATTTAAAACATATCACAACTTCCTTTCTAATGAGGCAATCTCAGAGTGAGCAGAAAGGTGCCCTTCCATATATTAAGTTCCAGCACCTGACATTATTTAGGAAGTGCTTTAAGTGTGCATGATGCATCTAAAGTAGTTCTGCAGGAGGTCAGTACTTACTCTCCTCTCACTTATACTGGGTTATCCTTGACTTTAAATCTTAAGCATCCCTACAAAGCTGTCCAGAAAAAAAAGATGCTTTTATCCATAGCGTTTTGAATTCTTCAATTAGATATTTTTCCATGATGAACAATGTGCTTTGTACAGCAGTTTGGCAATCCCTTCTGGCCTCAAAACAGTCTATACCAGGAAAGGTAAATGAGGGCAAAAAAAGATTCCTGCATTGTTTATTGCCCTCAATAAGTAGTGAAGCCAGTTAGGTACTTTTATCAAAAAATAGTGAGGTTAAATTCTTAATGCATGCTTCCTATCTTTTGGTTAATTCCAGGTCAAAAAAGGTAATGGCATCCAGACTCAGGCAAGGCATTTATTTGTGGCCTGGGGAAATCCATCCAGAACAGTCAGGAACTGCCATGTACCAAACTCTGCTGGCATCCTGAAAACCCCAGCACCCCAGTCCTGCAGCAGGAATGGCAAAGCAATATTCACCTGTGAACAATCTTGCCAGATGGATTTTCTTCAAGAGCAAATAAGCACATTTCCCTTGGAAAAGGAACACAAACCCTATCACTCCAAGAGCCACAGAAGAGCCAAGACCATGAATGCACCTTGATGCCCCAACACATCTGTAGCAGATACCAACACTGAGAAAAACTTCCATATCAGCTCCACATTCAAAGTTCTGGCCATGGTCAGCGTCTCTTTATTGAAACACATCAGAAAGCAATTTGGAAAGCACTTACTCCTATTGCCAAGGGCCATAATTCTTCACTTACTACCAGTGAGAGCAGCAGCTGCCAGCATCCAAAACTTTCTCAGGCTACTCTGTGGCAGTCCTCCTAACATCACTCACCTCATACGAAGTCTGATTTTGTCTCCACCTTTCCACAGACCAATTGCAGGGGTGTATTACTTGGTTAATCTGTTCTCTGTTCAGAACATCTGCAAGGGCTTCTTTACAGATCTACTATTAACTACCACCATATTTAATTAAAACCACACCGGGGAAAAAAAGCATAAACTGTGTCTGGGATAGATCCACCCTCACAAGGAATATCCCCAAAAACCAGGGTGACCACAAAGCCATTTCGGGCAGTTGCCAGATTTACATTTCCACTACAAAAGTAACAGTAGCTTTTATTGTCTTCTAGCACAGAGCTGATGCACTGGGCATCTCTGGCAGCACTACATTAACACATCCAACTGCCTCAAAGTACCCATTCAGACAGACAGAAGTCCTCATTTTCCCATTCACTGCCAGGCTTATAGCCAACAGACAAAGATAATCATGGGATTACTACTACAGCAGTGCAACTACTACAACCACAACAGAAATCATTAGCTTTCAATCTCAAAACAAGAAAAGCAACACAGCAGGGAGCTTGATGACAGAGGGGCCAGAGGAAAAGTAAAGTGGTGAAAAGTGAGCAGCAATAAATACTTGCCTTGAATGATTTTAATTTTTTATAACTCACATGCATACAGTTTACAGTGAAAAATACCATTTTTTCCTTCAAAATCTCTCTGCTGCCATCCTATCAGAGCCAACCTGCAAACAACACCCAGCACAGAGGGCAGGACTCTGCCTCCAGAACAAGTTATCCCTTCAGGAAAGCGGAAACATCTGGGAAGAGGCACGAGTACATACAAGTACTTTGTGCTTCTAGGCTTGAGCACAGAATTTGAGCTCGTAAATTTATGTGATTCATGAAGAAATCATTTGCTATGGATTGGGCTTTAATCCAACAAACAAAAAGGGATGCTGTGTTTTCCCACTGAAAACAAGACCAAGAAATCTAAAATCACTTTAAAGCAATATCAACAACATTAAAAGTAATTCTTGTTTCCATTCCAGTAAAAAGTACTGTATGTGCCTTTTTATTTTATTACTGTTTTTAAGAAAACTTATACTAAAGGAAATAAATAAAAAACATCCACAGAATTTATTTCAGTTTCCTGATACAGAATATATATAAGCCAATATATAATAAAAAATGAAATGGTGAGGCAGGCTGTTAAACAGTCTCTAAATTCTACTGGGAATTCTTGTTTGCTCTAAATGTCTAAATCATCTCATTGCCAGGAGAGGTGCAGTACCTCTGAAATGAACAGCTTGGAAAGCACGGCTCCACCTACAAGAGCTAACCACTTCCAAGGGATTACAGTCACCAAACTGAAACCCCTACAGCATCACCTCCTCTCTGCCTGAATAATGTTTAAAGCAGCCAAGTTACAAATATGCTAACAGATCCTTCTGCCTCTCAACACGTGCCTTGGAAAGAAAAAAAGGATGGATGTTGAAAGAGCATTCCCAAGTGCTTTGGGAATTCATCAAGGTGCACTATCTACAAAACCTGCAGGCATTATACAGTAACTGAAGGTGTCTGTCTACTCATCCTTCATGTCTGAAACACAACACACAGCAGATCCTACCAAAAGAAAACACAAAATGGAATTCTTCAACAGCAACGTTTGGTTTCTGATTGAGAATTGTACAATAGTAAGCAGCTCTTAGCACCAGTGGAACTGTAGGATATCAAATTACTACCACTACAGTACTAAAAAAGAATTCCAAATACATTATGTAGGAGTTATAAATTATGTATTTCTGTTGTGTAATTATACAGAACTTCATAGCAATATACACACCGAGCTGGATTTATATCTGCAATATACATATATACACATTTATGTGCACATGCTTGCCATTTTTCATATCTCCCTCTGAATAACATCGTTATAAGACAAAGAAAATGCATTGAGGTTTAGAACAGTACTTGTTTGCCATGCACACAAGATCCATTATGACATGAGATAATAATACATTCTGAACCTGGCAACCTCTCTGGACAAGCTGACCTTTATTGTACAAAGATATTTTAGGAAACAAATATCTTTCATTATTTTATTAAAGTACTGGATTCAATCACTCCAAAGGCATTACGAGTGATAAGCAGAACCTCTTGTAAATGAATTTTCAGCATATAACCTTAATGCGATCCAATTTCACTTCTGGAAAACAATCTTTATCTTCTGATGAGTGGAACTAAATACTTGCATATTTCCTTATTCAAGGACTTTTGAATTCTAAGGTCCAACAATAACACCTAGAAGTGGAAGTCTATTTACTTAGTACATGTAAAATGTGCAATGATTTATATAAAAATCTTGCAATCAAGATACAAAAATTCAAAATTCAGGGATAATTTCTGAAATGCTCTACAGTTCATTCTGGGCACACATATACATATATTATTTTAAAATATAAATAGGATCTCCATAATGCAGTAACAGACACAGGCAGTATGAGAATCAAACTCCTGAACTACCTGGTCACAAGAATCCTCACAATTTTCTTTCTGGCTGGAAGATTTTGGAGCAGCTCTCCAGGTGAGCAGCATTTTATCTGGTGAGATGAGAACACTGGATACTAACAACCAACAACTCATCCCCTTATCAGCTTTGATCCTTATTCTTTTTTTCTTTTTTTTCAAAAAAAGCCATTTAGCCAAACATGTGTATGATTTTTAACATTTTTAACAAGAGAACATTCCTACCTGCTAAGGCATCCCGGTAAAGTTGCACAAAATGGTTAAAGATATCCTTAGGCAAACATTTCTCATCAGGCAAACACTGCAGCAGAATGACGATCTCCGACTGCCCCACCGCGTGCATGCCCTTCGTGGTGAAACACCAGCACTTCCTGTTCACATCTGCACGGATGGAAACATGGATCAGCAGAGCAGAATTGCAAAAAGGATGCCTAAATTCACTGCAGGAAGACAGCTCTTGCAAGGAGCAGTTTTACAGCACGTATTGTTGTGTTATCTGTCACACAGACAAATTACGTCCTACATCTGTTACCGTGAGGGCAAGCACATCCCAAACAAGAGCACCTCAGTAATTCCCAGTTTACAGCTAAGGAAGAGCCAGAGTATTACAGCTCCCAGTCAGATCTTGGGATTAACACCACAGAGCAGACTTTTAGCAGTTTGTGCATTCAAATGAAAGGACAGGATTTAAATGTGACTGAAGGAGCCTGGGAACAGGCCAGGCTGTTGGCTGTGTGTACCATGATCCTGACAACTAAAACGGTTTCCAGCAGTGATATCTTCCTTAATATGGAGAGCTGGATGTCAGGTGTCTCCATGAGACCTCACTGTGTTGTTCTGCTTCACTGGGATGTTAGTAATGATACGTGCTCTGAGTTTCATTTCTTGAGAATACTAAGTTGTTGAAATAAAACCTGTGTCTATAATATATTACCTTTTTATACATATGTAAAACATTGTACTGCAATCCAAGAGATGCTGAAAGGTTTATAAGCAATTTATTAATACAAAACTGTCCTTCCCAATTTCTCCATAGTGTTTCTATCCAGCAGAGATCTGCTGCAGAGGAACTGGCATGAGAAGGCATCCGTGTGCCTCCCCACTCCTCCCTCAGCACAGGTACACACAGGCACAGGACAGAAAGGGACAGAAGAGGTGCACAGGGGAATGGAGCCTCTGCATTGTTATGGGATCCCATCTGCTTTTTCCAGAATGGTATGACAGGAGAATAAGTGAAGCAACCAAAGAAAAATGGTTGATAAAATACCCTGCTCTGCTAAGCTCTACAGGGGACATTGACCTCCTGAGACTGGAGGCTCCATCAGTCCAATTTCTATTTTCTACGTAAAATTATCTGTACTGGTACCTAAATCACCAGAAAAGGGCATTTTGACATTTAACTTAATATGGCTCAATACAAAGTTTTCAACCTGTACACTTTTTCTGAGACTCTCCTACCAAATAAAAATGCTGCTGTTCCTACTAATAATCTAGATAACATTCCTCTTCTCATAGATTAAGACTTATTTAATAATAAACACTTACAATTTACTATTTTTACCATGGACAGCAAATTAGCATTTAAAACAAATACTAGAGGGTCAGGGCCACCATCCTCCAGCTGCTGCATGACAGAGATCTGAGAAGGTCTCTCTTCCACAGCATAGTCTACGAAAGAAACAAACACAATGAAATCCATAAATTACTAGTATGGACTCTACATTATAATCAGATAACCCCAATTCCAATTCTTTTTATTTTGACCTTTTAGACAAAAACTTATTTAAGTATTGCTGGTTTAAGTGATTGTTTCCTAGACTGGTATTTTCAAACTTCAACTGAATTTATGAGATAGCCTCTGTACATCCTTTACAAAGGTGCACCTTGTTTCAGAAAAATAACTATTTTTCAGTATCAACTAGCAGAGAAAATTGAAACCAAATTGAAAAATGTGTCACAATGTCAACTGAAATCCCAAATGACTAAGTCAAGAATTGTTATTTAAATCATAGTAAGGCTGAAGGGGCATCACTCCTGGACTACCATAAACAGCTAACACAGGATGGAACAGATCTGAAATTATATGCTGCTCACATTTTGGTTTTGACACTATCCTGAAATAAAAGGTTACTTCCAACTTAACATTAGAAATGCACCGTGTCAGCAAAATATCTAATAGGAATAAAACAACCAGTGAAAATAAGTTCATTCCAGGGATATATTAAAGGATGTCATGAATCAGACTGTGGAAAGCAATTTCACATGAACAAATACACATTTTCTAATCTTTTCAAAATTAGTTTTTAATTTTCTGAAGCCTCCTCAATTTGAATCCTTTATATAGGGATATCACAATGACTAAAAGCTGCACTGTGGGCCACGATGTGCAATAGTGCTGTTGAAAGCAGTGCTTGGGGATGCCTCAGACAGAGCCCATGTTCCAACAGAATTTCAGAGAAGGGAAGCATGAATATTCAAAAGGCTAATTAAAACCTATCTCTGTTTGAAACATTCCCCACAGTCCGATTAGTAAAGAAATTAGCACATGTTTCTGGACTGCAGTTAATTTTTTGCTTCATGTTTTACTTGTTACTGGAATCTCATTGCAAGGTGGGGCTCTTCCTGGATGCAAATAGGGACCAATTGTGCAAAGGAGTGGCCCAACTTTTACCCACGAGTGCTTACTGAGAATTCCTTCCAATACTCAGCACACTGCCAGCATCTTATTTTTAAAACAAACACAGTAGCCAGTAGGTTATTGCATCTGGTAAGCATAAAAGCTGGCTGCCAAATTATACCCTCACCTCCTTTTACTCCAGTGGAGATGAGAATTGGAGGAAGACCATCTTCAGGAATCAGATTCATTGCACTGCCAACAGGACTGCCAACCTGAGTTATATTTCCCGAGAATACAGAGGCATTATCAGTCTACAAGAAGCAAACAACAAGGAAGGACAACATTAAAACAGTAATAATGATAAAAATGTAAGAGCTGGCTGGCTAAATTATTATAGATGTAGGTGAAGGAGTCTGTGTCTGCTGGAGAAACAGAAGCACCAAGTAATTTGGCTCTGTAACAACAGATGATCACGTGATGACTCCTGTATGGGAACTATTGCTAGAAAATCTGCTCAGAGCCTGCACCTCCCTTCTCTAACATCATACATATCCATTTCTTCACAAAATCTTAATGAATCTAGGCCCATCAATGCAGAGTCTCAATTCCACTTACAGGGGGTATGGTGGACTTAACATTGTTAACTTTATCTGCACTTTCCTGCATACATGATTTTGTGACAGAATATTCTTCTGATCCACACTATGATATTCTTATTGTTTGGAACTCCTTACTGACCACAACTCACCCTTTTTAAAGCATGTGTTACACAAATATCCTTCACACACCAGCTGTATTGCCAAATAGCTGGAAGCCACATAGACAACAAACATTCTAAGTGCTTTGCCCCAAAACTCTTCATTTCATTTAAAAAGATACAGTTGTTTCAGCACTCTGCAAACATTCAAATAAGAACAACACTTGCTATGCAACATATTGCATATGCATGTATATATATGCATATTGCATATGCATATGCATATGCATGTATATGCATTGCATATAAGACAAGCCTGAGCAGATTTCCTGCATCAGTTTTACTGCAGTCACCACAGCAACTCCCAGACCACTCACAACCAAGGCAAACACAGGATTTTGAACACCAAACACTGCCTTACTTCTGCTGATGAAGTGTTGTTGGCCATGGGCTTTGATGGATCATGAGACACTGCTAAGGTTCCCGTGGAAGTTGTCCCAGCCACTGTCAGCTTTGCTGCATCGGCAACTTCTCCATTGGGTAAAATCCCATCAGCAAACCAAACACGCCTTTGTTCTCTAGGCTGAGCCACTGGAGAGAACATAAAAAACCAGCATTTAACATCTCGCAGCAACACTGGCTAGGAAATTGGAAAATCTGAGTATAAAACAGCAAAATGGAAAAAATAAATATAAAAATGTGGACTGGAAGGAACTTAAGACATCATCTAGTGCATTCCCTATGGCAGCACCATGTACAGACACAATCACTGAGAACAGTTTACATGTCCTGAAAAACATGATGTCCCTGCTGAGGGCAGGAATAGCTCACTGCATTCGCCATTATTTGGAATGGATGAAATGCAGCTATTCTTTCCAAATTCTTACTACAGGTAAACTGAAAGAAAAAAGAAATATTCTCACCTTCTGCTCCAGGATGCTTCAGAACTCCCACAGGTACCATGACAGTGGGAGGCGGGGAGCTCAGGGCGCCCGAGGCCTGAGCCTGCTGCAAAGGAGGGATAGTAGAACAGTATTCAGCAGGATTGTTAGGGTTAGGGCTCTGGCTTGAGGCACTCATCATGTTCTCCCAGGCTTGAGCTAAAGCAAACAAAGAACAAGAGCCATGAACACAGAGGAAGGTATCTAACAGTCCAAAACACTGTGTTAAGTTCTCAGCTGTCAGAATGGACCCTGCCACCTCCCAAAGACCATTCCCTCCATGTAACAGCCCAGGAGACTGCAATTAAGCAAGAAAAGCACAAAGAGAAACTGCACTGGCCCTGTGCAATAAAAATATTAGTCCATAGAGAAGAATTTTCTGAAAAGGGTTAAAATACACTTTGATTTGAGTGATGCTTAGTTCCTCATGCTTCATTTTATTTCTTCTATAAAGATCTAATTGAAAACAGCCAATGTGTACATATATATATAAAAATATAAATATATCACAATGCATGGAGACATAGACATTTTTACTACAAATCTTTCTAACCCACAAAATACTTGAGCAGATTTAGCTTTCATTTATAATAAAAAGCACTCTGCATTTATTTGTGTCCAGGGCAGTTGTGTACAAATCAACAACTTTTATTCTTAACTGTAAAAAAATCCTTACAATATTAATTTGGAAGACATGACTTGAGCCTTAATTCAACTGGCCAAACTGGCCAAAAAATAACACATAAATAATCTTTGTCAACAATACCTATGATAGGAAAATCTCCTCTGGTGAGTAAACCAGACCATCTCCACAGTGCTACTTCTATTTCACCTCTAAGGGAGGCTTGTAGCAAGATGCCAGAAAATTATGTGTGTTTGCACCACAATCATATTAGTGTATTACAAATAAATGCATTCTTTGAGTCAGGCATAAATGTCATGGCACCTAACCTCTCAGAGCATGTACATCCTTGGGTTCCTTCAGCTGCAAATTGTTAGAAAACCAAGGTGGAAATAACAAGACCAAAAAAAGGCCAAACAGAACTCAACAGAACATAAACCCTCCTGCTTCCCCCCATCAACCTGCGAAACCAATAGTGAAACGTTTGTCAATGAAAAAGGTACTGGCATTCCAGATGAGAAAATTACTTGATCCAAAGCACTTTTTAAACAGCAATTCTGTACCAGTTATAGTAAAAGTCCTGAAAGAAGAAAGTATTAAAAATGCACAAAGTTACATGTCCAGGGCTCCTTTATTAGAAAAGTAAAAGAGCATTCTTAAAGTCTTCTTTAAATGGAGCAAAGTGCCAAGTCAGCACATCTACCAACGGAAAATACACTAAAAATAGCATTGGAAACTGATGAAACACATAGCCTGGCCATGGAAACGTGCCAGAAAACACACAACCCTCCCCTCACACCCCAGTCAAACACAAACCAGGCTCTGAGCAATCAAGTGAAATAATAACTGCTTTTACAGTTCCTACCCCTGCTTCCAGAACTGTGCAAAGATTAATGCTTAACCTGCTGCACTGACAGGAACAAAAGCCCCAAAAGCTGCACTGACAAAGAACCTGGAAGGATCAGGAGGGGTGGGATGTAATCAGGCTACAGGTGAACTAACCCAAAGCATCACCACAAAGCACTGCAGCAGGGACAGGAACAGAGGGAGACAGGGCAAGCACAGCTCTGGCCTGGAAGGTACCAGGCACTGGTGTCACTGTTTGCTGCCATTAATGTGCATCTGCCCTGGCAACAGGACAGAGAGGTCTTCAAATGAAATCATTATAATAGGATCAGTTTTATTGTGTCTTTTTAAAACAACACTTTGGTGTCAACAAAATATTTACAGATTCTTCCCTTCCCCCAGATGAAAATTAATCCTACTCACCAGGACAGAGCTAGCTGTCTTTTGCTAAGTGTATTTGTAATTCCTTGTTCTTTTACACCTTGAAATGTGTTCATTTCTCCATCCCAAAATGTAACAGTTTAGAACCCCTTCAGCATCATTACTGGGACTAGTTTTTAATTTCTAGATATTATAACCTACAATTTCCTGTCACCTTACACATTTGGCCTAGAGCAAAGAATTATTAATAATTAAAACCTACCACTGCACAGCGATTAATGTTTAATATTTTTGAAGCATTTAATATTTTTGAATTTTTTTCTGAGAAAATTGTATTCCTGTTTAATAACAGATACTGTCTACTTTTATATTCTCATCTGAAGACTAAGCACTCAGTTACTTTCAACCAAACCTGAACCAATACTCAACTTCTTTGGAGAAAAAATAAAGCTGTTTAAGTTTAGTTTAGATGTTCAAACAACAAAGTAAGAGATCTTTCTGAAAACAGCCCAAATAATCCACTATGCAGTAATATGTAAAGATAATGCCAAAATTACTTTCTGTGATGATGACACAAACCACAATTTTCATAACCAATTCTTGGTTAGAATCTCTGCTAAAAGTCTCCAAAGTTTAGCTAAACAATTGCAGCAATGGCTATTCCATGATAAACCACCCTGATAATTACTGAACAGTAATCCTAACAGTTAAAAGTTTGCATTTAGAGCCTGAATTTCTCTGACTTCTCATTCTACTTTTTACATGTTAGAATGCACCTCTCAGACCTTCCTCTACCACTGAATTCACTTCTGCCATCAAGTTTCAGTGATCCAGACATGTATTTATACCCCAGGACCAAGACACCCATTCACTTTCCCACTAAGCCAAAATGCCTGGAATTTCTCACGATGAGACAGGTTATCTCATGAAACAAGAACCCACGTGGGTCCTCTCTCAACCTAATCCAATTTCTCTGCCTTCTCAATTTGAGACTGAAGAACTAAACATTGAGTCTTCCAGCAGCAGCTGTCTCAGTGTCATGGGCATAACTCAGCTGGACAGATCATCCCCAGAGGTGACTGCCAGTGTGGGAAGTTCTGGAGATTTTCACAGGCCTCAAGAGAGTGCTCTGTGTTTGCCCATATTTATAGCACAGCTCTGAAGTTTAATACAGTAAAGAACCACACACAAAATACACTCCACAGCCTGCTGGTCAAAACCAGAGTTTTTCCTTACACCAAGCAGAGGTGATAGAATTCCTACCAGTTCTACATGTGAACTTCAGAACTACTTGTGACCTCTCTCCTGTGTCCCATGCTCTCACCAGGCTTTCAGCCACAGCACCCCCCTGGGTTTGACACTCTCCAGGAATGTCTGAATGTAACCATCCAAGCTCAGCTGTCCACATTTGGGGACCTGTAATTAGACAGGACCTCCTACTCTAGCACCAAGGAGTTAAGAAGAGGAGCTGGATTAATCTGTGGGTAAATACTACTTTCCCAATCTCCTATAGTGTGTGATCTAGAACAGGCACAACTGCATTACTCCACAATTTGGCATTCCATCTAAATGTTTAGAAGGTTGTCTACTCAGGCAACAAAGGATACAGAGTACACTTCTGAAGCAACCCCAAAGTCACAGTTTTTGCAATCCTGCTAGAGCACTCCCAAATGAAAGCTTTCAAACTCACTGCAACCTTACCAGTTTTTCTGCTCTTCACAGGGATTCCATGCCAGCCTCTCAAGCACCTTTACTGTTTTAGAATACTTACCCATACAAATGAAGTATTTTTATATTTTTCTTTTCAAATGCCCTCACTGCAGCTCCACACAAAGCCAGTGAGGTGCCACATCTGGATTCCTTGCCCACTCACCATTCATCAGCACTGAGTGGCAGATCACACACACTCTGGCCTCCTTTCGGTCCATGTACAGCAGCTTGCACTTCAGGCTACAGCACGCAGCACAAAACACCTGGAACACAGGGGAAACTGCTCAGGGGTGTGCACAGATATGGGACAAACTGATGGACCTGCACAACTGAGTGTCTGCAAAGCTCTTGAAATGCAAAATACAGAGGTAAAAAATCAGTATTTTCCCATTAAAGCCACAGTGACCAATACCTACCCAGGGTGCCTGTACTACTAATCCTGATGATTATTTTGTGGAACACATAAACACATTTTATCCTGATACTGCACTGTGGTGTTGTTAAAATCTGACTGGCATAAATGACAATGAGGGTAATAAATACCTACCACATTACGATCTCTCACAGAACGAACAATTTGGGAATTAAATTCAGTCTTAAAAAAAGCATGAGTACTTCCTAGAATTAAATAGCAATTCAATGCATAAGTATTCCATATATATAAGAGACTGCTATGGCACAGATTAATTCAAACTGAATTAATTAATTCTTTGCAGCAGTACAATTCATCTACATGGAACTGGACACTACAAGGAAGTTTTGGACACCAGGAGGAATTTCTTCACAGAATGGGTGATTAAACATTGGAATGGGCTGCCCACCATGAGAGGTGCGGGAGTCACTGTCCCTGGAGGTGTTTAAGGAAAGACTGGATGTGGCACTCAGGTCTGGTTGACAAGGTGGTGATTGGTCATCAGTCAAGACTGGATTTGATGATCTCAAGAGTATTTTTTCAACCTAAACAATTCTGTGATTCTGATAGCAGCTCCAGCTGCTTAATCTCTTCATATCTAGCAAGCAATTCCTTGGTTGAGGAGCAACAGTGATTATCAAAACGTTTTAAGTGTTAAACACATAAACCAAGACATTTCAGAAAGCTGAATGACATTAGTACTGCAAGAAAAATCTTGCTCCATTTCTACAAAAAAAGCTCATTTTGACATGAATACAAACACCACAGTATCACAACAGTAGGGAGAACTCAGGAACTGCATTCTGTGCACCCTGGCTGCTAAAGGGGCTGGGGCAAAGCCCAGAGAGCACAAAGTGCTGTGGAGATGCAGCTGCAGTGCTGGTCCCTCTCTCCTGAACCAGCTCTAAAAACTCCACAGTCCTGGGCAGGAAACAGTCCTGAGGCTTCCTCCAGACAAGCAAAACCATCAAACATGAGCATGGCTTGTGCACCAAAACACACTTGCATGCAGGTATGATCCTACAGTAGCAACTGCCTTCTCACAATCCTGCAGAACACATGCCCTTAATGATTTCTTATTAATTTTAAATAATTATTCTGTCTTTTATTTTTTAAAAAAACAGTAGTTCCTCAGGGTTATTTTTCAAGTGATGTGAAGATACTGATGAAAATCCACTTCCTGCAGAAAGGTAATGTCACACTCAGGAGATCTAGAAACAGCAACAGCTCCTAACAAATGAGTTCAGATATCAAGAGAGAATTTCAAAATTTAATCATGGGTGGATATTATCTGTGCAATACACCATGCATTATTATGATATATAATGCTTTCTAAATTAAAAAAGTATTCCATCACTCCAGCAGCATTATTTCTGTAATACAGACAGGAAGCTCCACAGGTTTGTTATATATAAATGTGTTTAAGCCGAATTAAATTTCAACCAAGTTAAAGATCACACCAAATTACAACTACTTTTAGTGGCAAGTGTTCAAAAGAAGCAAATACAGGTTCTGAACTAAACATGAGAGTTGAAAATCAACTGTGCAGAAAGCTCAGCCTTGTCTCATTAGAACCAGTTTTAATGTTTTCTAACTATGACAACTCAAACATTTCAAAAACAAAATATAATTAAGCATAGACTGAAATTTTAATGCAAAAATAAAATCCACCCTTTTGCATATGTGAAAACCTTTAAAAAACCAAAGTAAATATATTTGAAAAATCTGATTTCTGTACTTACATCTTAACCCAATTTACATGTATTCTAGGGAATATTTATAACAACATCACAGCATAATTTAGAGACATTTGACATCATTTCAGTTCTCTGGGCAAAACTTCCAGTCAAAAGTCCATTCACTATTGAACATGGAAAAATCAATGTCAACCATAAATGAAGGCCCAACACAAATTAATATCTAATTTAGAACCCTTTTTCAAACAACATATTCATGAAAGCTCCCAAATGCAATGATTTAAATATTAAAAGAGAAAATAGAAGCAATGACAGAACATCCCCACCTCCTCTCTCAGGCTGCATCAGCCTTGAGCAGCAGTAATGCAGGGAACGCAATCCAGCACAACTGACAAGTCAGACTTGTTATTAACAATCACCAAGTCATTATCTCAGTACATCATGCTATAAAAAAACAACAGAGCAGTGTCAAAGCAAGTTTTTATGTTACTAGGGTTTTCAGGTTCACTAGGAGTTGTTAAAGCATTAGTTGCTAGTGGAATTGCTGATTTTTTTTAATATTTTAGCAGAAAAATATTGGTTTGGTTGTCAATAAAAAAGATTGCATTTAAATTTTCTGGTTTTCCTATCAAGGATGATGATTTAATCTGACAATAGAAGGTACAAAAATACATAACATCTAATTATATGAATGTGTCCACAAATTCATCAGGTTCCCAATTTTAACTCAAAATTTACTGTAAGTGTATTTCTTTCTATCAATCCAAATTGTTCATATCATCCATTAACTTTACAATTATTACCCTGAAATTAAAAACCCAGACTTCCCAGTTGCCACTCCACTATTTTTAAATGCAGTGTTCATTCCCAAACGAAACAGACACATTCACCCCTACTAAAATGATTTGTCACGATGTTAATAAAGCTTAACAAGAAACTGCTGTGCTACAGCTTGTGTTCAAAATATTTAATCCCATGACTTCCCCTAGAAACAAATAACTGCAAGGGCTGAAGATGTTGTCTCCCTAATTCTTTTAGTGAGATCCAGGCATTTAACAGTGGAAGTATCCCTGTGGTTCAGGAGTTACCTACACATGGTGTGGGTTGTTTCCTGTTCTATGATTAAGCTCCCACTACTGGAACCAGAAGAGTTTTCAGCTTCTAGATCTGCTCTCTGAGGAATGGCTTTACCAGTGAAGTTTTCAACTGCTCTGGGGCTGGTGACCAGAAAGCAGGAGCAGACAGCTGAGAACAGGGATTTCTCAAGCCACTGCAGCCACATTCATCAGCACTTGTCTGTCAAAGCTTTGGTCTCTCTCTGCCCAGAATCGTTACAGGCATTGAGGGCTGTAAGGCAATTTGCAGAAAGTGCTAAGTATTATTTGACTTACACTGATCCTTAGCACTTATTAATGAGTCCTTTCTGCCACATCTTTTGGCTGCACCTGTGCAAATTTGGCCCAGACAAACATTTCCTAACAAAAGCTTCTAAAAACAATCCATTCTAAGTCTACTGAGTCAGTTTGTCTACTGAGCAGAAGGATTTTTTATTTTATCCATTTCCCACATATAATCAAAAAAACCTCACTGGCACTGGTGGTTCCTCTCAAGGTTTGTTAGAAGAATGTAAAAAAAAAAAACCACAGAGAAAATTTTTGCCTTGTCCCATCGTTGCATGTTCTACCCATTTACTGACACTTTAATTTTCTGCATTCATTTGTGCAACTCAGGGCTTCAGCCATTACAGAGAAGCAATGAAATCCAACCAATAAACTTGTTTAAAACACAAAAATAAGTAAAAAATTTTACTGCACATGAAAACTGAAGTCATATTTGTCCAACTGAAAAAAAACCACCCAAATAACTGTATAAATTAACATATCAAAACTAAAATCATGGACAATCCTTTACCTTCCATGCCTTACAGTTTCTCCTCAACTGCCATGAGAAGAATGAGGCCCCTGATATAAACCAGAAGTACACTGAAGCAGGCATGTGCTTTATGTGATGCTCACTGATCACCTGTGGTTACTGGCCCCACATCAGGACTTCCACTGCAAGCAAGCTGCTGCAGGATGGGCTGAACCAACTGCAAGTCCTGGAGTAGTGCTCAAGGAATGTCTGCTCAGCCTTTCCAAGTGTCTGCCCAGCACTTGTGCAGTGAGAGGCTGAGTGCTGTGCTGGTTCCTAAAGGGAACAGGAGCAAACCTGGGGGCTCTGCTGGGCTGCTTCCAGAACCAGCTGGCATAAGGGTTTGAGCTTTCCTGAATACATTTGCTTCTTTCGAGTCCTTTATCCACATCATTCTGCTTTCCCTGCATTCTTCTGGTAGCAAAAATTATCACCCATAGCAGCCAGGTCTTTTAATCAACTTCAGAAACCTTTGAATGAGGCCTAAATGAACTGAAGTTATTTTTATTGTACTTCTTGTTGGTTTTAGTATTTCTTTTTACAATATTCATTAACACCTAATTGACAAGAGTGTTAGTTTACTGCTTTGGAATCATCATTACTTTCTTCCTGAATTCCTACTTATGTCACTTATATTTCAGTAAAGATATTTGGAATACTTTACAGGTTAATAATTTACAATAAAATCATCACATAAGAATTTGAACTCACCTAGATGACAAATACATAAAATGTTAAAACACTCTCAACAATAAAGTATTTCTTACACAACAAGAAGATACAGAAATTATGAGTTAGTTGTCTTCATTATGACATTTCTCACCAAGTGGACATACACCAGGTTACAGTTAACCACTTTTTTTCCCCCAAGAGCAAATGTATGTTTAAAAACATGTTAGTGCTATTTAAAATAATGTAAGCAATATGAGAATAGTAAAGAAGACTGAGAAGAACTGAGTTGATCAGCTGTGTAAACCAGCAGGAATGCCAGCAATCCAACAGCCCACTCCCAATACACAAGTTAGTTTCAGAAACTTTAATGGGATTATTGATGCAGTAATTTCTGTAAAGCAGTTTACTGCACTTAGTCATTTTATAGAAGTTCTGACATAAACCCAAGGATGATGATCATTGCAATCAACAAATACAACTGTTCATTTAGACTAATAACCATCAGTTATTCTTTACGGGCCCCCTAAATAGATCAGAGCTCAGAAATTCCCATTTTTGCTTCACTCAGACACAGCTTTTTAGGAAGAGATGTCACAGGTAACTATATCCAGTAGTTTAGCAAGCCCTCTGATGTGATGCTGTGCAGTATCAGGAAAAAAAGGGTGCTTTGAGCTTATTCACAAAATATGAACTTACCTTCCCACAGGCTCTGCAATGGTGCCTTCTTTTGGTGAATGTAAATCTGGCCTCACATTTCATACAGTTTGGTGCTTGAGAGTCTGGAACCCACACTGGAGCCACCTCACCCAAAGTCGTAAAAGGCTTTCTGGCTGGAGCTCCAAACTGACCAGCTCTGAGATCATTATCTGGACTATCTGGGGCTACTGCAAGGCACGAACTATTAGAGACTCCAGATTCATACTCGTCCAAATGTTCCCCACTAGAACCAATACCAGAGGCATTTGAAGATGTTTCACCAGGAAACGTGTCTGCTGTATCCCCTAACTGTGTCTTACCAAAGACATTTTTGTTTTTACTATTACCTCCACAATTTGGGGGAATAACATCGTTTTGTAAGTGGTCCGATAATGGCTTCGGAATCTGCAGTTTCAGATTTGTGGGTTGCTTAGGTCTTGCACCACCAAAAGGAACACTGATATATTGCAGGTTAGTCACTGGTTTTGGTGAAATCTGCCCTTGCATGGATGAAACCTGACTACAAAGATTATGCAAATAATTTTTCTTTATGTGGTCACCAGTGCTGTTTAAAATAAGACCACTGCCTTCTGTGGCCTCATTTCCTCTCTGTTCATAAACATTAGTGTAACATTCTGACTTGCTCTCCTCAATCTCCTTTTCCTCTGTTACCGAGTCTTCCTTGGAGGGTAAAGTCTTTGGAACATGAGCAACAACTGGGTTCTGCATTCCATAGGAATCACAACCATTAGACAGAGAGCTTGCTGCTGATGTAGCCATCACATCAGAGACACTGGACCCTCCAAGCTCATCTGTACCAGACCCTTTTAAGTCTACGCCTGCGTCCAATACCCCATCTTCATCTTCTTTGCTATTCCCACATGCATCATCAGGCTGTTTGGTCTGCAAAAGTCTTTCATTCTCTCCTAGAGTTTGCTTATTATTCATCTCATTCAACTTTGTCAGCTCCCAATTAGTCATCTCCTGAGATTCAGGGTAACATTCTGCCATGCTGTGCAATTCCGTTGTGCCGACATTTTTATCACATTCAATGACTTCTCCTTCAGTGGCACTAACATCCTCTGCAACACATTCCTTGTAATTGCCACTTCCAGCCACGTCAGGTTGACAGGTCTCGGTGAGCCCAGATAGCCTAGACTGCAACTGCTGGGTTGTTTCCTGTTCTACAATTAAGCTTCCACTACTGGAACAAGAAGAGTTTTCAGCTTCTAGATCTGTTCTCTGAGGAATGGCTTTACTAGTTAAATTTTCAACTGATGCACAACTTTCTTGCATTTTAGCAGTACCATCAACTGGTCTCTGTAAGAGAGTCACTGCATTGATCCCTGCAGTTGTAGCTTCTGAAAACAGCAAATCTTTATTCATATTAAAATCCTCCTTTAATCGAGAGGAGGGGCATGCAGCGGTCAGGCTTTCAGATGAAGCATTAATGAAATTACTTACAGAGTCATCTTCAGTGCACAGCCTGTTTACCTGCTTTTCTGTATCAATATCCTTTTCTGTGGATCCGTTTACAGTAACGCTGAACTGGTCACTCTGTCGGTTTTCATTATCCAGTGTAAAGCTAATAGAGTCCATTAGAGACTGACTGTTGTAATTTGTACAATCCACCACATCACCACTTTGTAGTGTTCTTCTGTCACAGTTGTGCATGACTGCCACCACTAGCACATTTTTCTCCTCTGGCAAGCAAGCTGTATTTCCACATTTCTTTTCTCCTGCTTCCATAGAGTTACACTGATCATCCTGATTACTATTTCTTTTAATCAACTGATCATCTGCTGCTGCCTGATCATCAATCCACATGACTGGGGTCTCTGGGCTTATGCTAAAATCCTTTCCATTAGCACAGCGATCCCCTCCTCCTGTTGGTGTAGTCACTGAGTGGGACAAGGAGAAAGACTTTAATCTCTGCTGACATTCATTAGGAGTTGTAGCTTCATTCACGTTGGCCACAGCCGAGTTGAATGACAGGCGACGAGAAGGCGGATCTAGAATCTGATTCCACTTTGCACCCAGCAGAGTAGGTGAAACAGCGGCATCTGAAAAAGGGTTTAAACAACAAAATTTACTGCCATATTAAAGCTACAGGTTCCATTAATCCTGCTGCATTAGAATGTCCCATATAGAAAGGCAGATGTGTTCAAATACAGGCACAAAAATGAAGCTCACCTGTCATAACCAACACTATTGGTCAACTATTAGTCGTGTAATTCCATAATGTTTCTGGAACTCAAGAAGTTTAGAGCTACCCCAATTAGTATCAGGTTGAATTTGCAAAAGCAGCTTTAAAGTCTTGATTAATATATTTCAGACAGCTAGAAGTGCCTGGAAAGATTCTCACCCCCATAAAATGAACAGTTCAACTTCCTTGACAGCAAAGAATTACCAATTAGACTAAGCAAAAAATTTAGTGCTTTGAACATGACAACCTTCAGTGTATGATTTATGTGACCTAATAAAACATTTCTGCAAAAGAAACTTAAAATAAGTTTTGCCTGATTTGTTTAAAATAAATGATTTAAATATTGCTACTGAGATTAAGCTTCACAAAGCCTTTCTTTAAAAGTGTATGGTACATTTGCTATTAAAAGAGGAAGAAATTTTACAAAGGTAAACAAGATGAATGGAAGCAGAAGGAAACGCTACTAAGAAATGCTGAAGGCATACCATGCAAAATTAAAAGATGTTTTTTGTAAGTTCTGAGATTAATTTGCAACTCAAACCCAGAAAGGCTATCACAGATCTCCCCCTCTTCTATACTGTCCTCTGTAGAAGACATCTGATGTGCATCTACAATCCTCTTCGAAATGACTCACCTTCGTTTTGCTCAAATTCATCTAAAACCTTATCGAGGTTATATGCCTCTGCTTGGAAATAGTTCTCCATTTGTCAGGGAACAACCACCAGATCCTTGTCTAAACCTGCCAGAGAACAAATTACAATCAGATGCTTAACCTTCAGTCAGCAGTGTTCCCTTACATATCGTCCTGATTTAAGGGGAAAAGTCCTTTGTAAATCAAATTTTACATACATTACAGACATAAATCAAAAGTATGTTCCAGGAATAAAAATCATTTGTGTACTTAAACTTGGTCCATTCAGATTAACTTCCCCAAACTTGCTTTGGATTTTATTAACTCCAGTCTCTCACATTAAAGTGTCTGCCTATCAGGATCACCATAATGGTAAGAGCAAAACTGCTGTGACACCAGTCTAAAAAAAAAAACAGTCTAGAGAAAACAAAAAGGCCAACTACAGAATCTGAAGACCTGACTTTCAGATCTGTGCTACCACCAATTAGTTCATGTGGCTTTGAACAAGGAGTTTAAACTCCCTGTGCTTCTGATTTTTTAATGTACTGTAGGCTAGCAGTACTCTGTGTCAGTCCTTATTCCTCTCGAGATGCTTCAAAGATTCATACTTGTAAAAGATGTTAAGGGACTTAATGGGTGTTACTTGAATTGTGCTGCCTCTTAAAATGTCTACTTTAATAATCCTTGTTTCCCTGAAAGGCAGCCACTGAAATCCAGCAAAATGCACAGAAGTAAATAGTCTCATCAAGAGATAATGCTCTCAGGCTAGAAAAGAAGATGACAAGAGAGAAATGAAGGGAAAAAAAACCAAAACCAAAGCAAAAACCCAACCCTGAATCATTACATAACTATCTTCACATAATAAGTAATATTTTGCCCTAACTGCAGTAACACAGACTCCTCACTACCAAAGTCTTGTAGCAACAAGACACCCTGATTCATTTTTCCCAAACATTCACTACCAGCAGAGACATTTTCGGTGGGAAATGTGTGCCATAACCTATAAACCACAGAGACCTTGACTTGATCTGTTCACTGAACATCATCCAAAACAGCTTTATTCTCTTCAGAGTTGGCTTTCACTGTTGTGAAATAAGGCAATGGAGGAGGAGAGGGTGAGAACCTTGTTTTGCAGCATGAAGCAGTGTTAGACCTGACAGCTCAATTAAAAACCTGCTTTTTTCCACCAGAGATACAACACATTAGAGGAAGTTTCTAATTTAAAACAATACTTTATCATTATCCCCACAATATCTGGATTTGAGGAAAACATCAACCACCTTTATTTCCATTACTACAACATTTTGTATTTACAAATTCACGAATTATAAATATTTACGGTACAACAGTTTTGCACTTATTACAGGCAACAGCTGCACTTAGGTTATTGATAGAAAAGGACTGTGCATTAAAATATCACAAAATGCAGAAAATCAGGTTTTCAAGGTCAACTAAAAATTTGATACAAGGTTGTTTTAAAAGGTGATCATGATAAACATAAATACATTGCTATTTAATAGAGTTAGACTAAGGCATGTGTTAAAGATATACACAGAATCAAGTTTTAAAGAAAATTAATCTAACATGCCTCAACAGAAAAAAGACCATTTGCAAAATAACTCCAAGATAAACTAAACTTGTCATCTGACATACTCCTAGATTTATCCTCTGTTCTGGGATGTTAGATTAACTCCTTCTGTAAGGAAAACAGATTATTTGCCATATCATTTACTGTGCACAGATGCACAGAAGCAATGGAAAAGCTGCCCACCTTGATCACCAGCTGCATTTCAGGAGACTCAAAAAGTAGCACTATTTTTTACAAAATACCAGGCGATTGCACATCCATTTATAATGTTATTTAATTTACATTATAATGATAACATAGCTCCTAGCAAACAATTGATGAAGACATGTATAATTATTCCTAGGCAAAGTCCTGCTACTAAAGTCAATGATGCAAAGAGTATTTGTCAGTGAGGCACTGCAAGACTGAAAAATGTCATAACAAATTTTTGTGCTCATGAGTTCCAGCTGAAGAGAGAAAAGACCTTTTGTATCACTATTGTTATTTCACTCACTGATGTACCAGGATATATGGAGAACCTTTTATTTTTAAGCTCACAGTCACTAAGCTGACAGCCACTCTAAATGAGATCTCATTGTCTCTTGCAGAAGGTATTTCTCAGAAAAGGTCAGCTGCAAATCTTTAGGTCTAATATCTAAAATTATTATTATTATATAAAAGAATGCAACAACCCCCCAAGCCTTTCTGCAAGTTTCTGCCAAGGGCAAAACACACTGCCAAATCCACAGAAGTCCTTAATGTCCTCTCCCCTGTCTGACAGTAAAGGAGGATGAGTACTCATGTTCCTAACAGATATCAGCAAGGCTTCCTAATTGTCAGCAACTCACATATTTGCCAGTTGAAGATTTAATGCTTCAACTCACCATAGCCAGCAACTCAAGATCAAAACAGAAAATAAAATGCTCTAACACAGCATGCCATAATAATTGAGGAGCTGTTTTCCCTGTGGTTTAGAATTTAATTCTATTTTGAATATTTTTATTAAATGCTCAAGCTGAATAAGAAACATATTCCTTTACAGGTCTTTTGAAACTTTTGACTGCATCTCACATGTACCACCATAAAAGTTTGGAAGACTTTTAGAATTACTCTAATCCCAAAGTTCCTCTTAGGACAAAGGTTGACATGACATTTTTTCAAGGATCCTTCACAGCTGAGAAACTCTGTAGTATTGTTCAAATATCCTGAGTAATGGCATGGAGAGAAGCTGATGAGCAAGCACACAACACTTAGACTCTGGAAAAAGGAGAATAAAACAGGAGCAAATCAGAAAGAAGTTTCAGTGGTAATTTTAGCTGTATGCAACCAAAAAGGAGAACCTAAATTACTATATATTGGGATGAACAATATGAAGGAAAGGATCTTGTGCCACTGCAATGAAAAGGAAGCACAAACCAGCAATGAGTAAAAAACAGGAGATGTTTTCAAAAATACAGGCCTCCATGCAAACACTTAGCAGAAAAGACTAATTATGGGAAAAAATAGTAAAACTTTATGTTTTATTTAGCTCTGGATACAAAAGAGAGTAATACAATGGTTACTATCCACTGGTATGTAAGTCCAGAACTCAAGATCACTCGTTACCCAGTGCAGAATCATCTTCTGTCTTTCAGGGCAAGGAGCTAATTAAAACATGCAGTCTGTCAAATCAGATTATTTTCAAGCTCCTGTTGGATCACACATCATGCATAATTCAGGAAGTGTGTTTTACTTCTCAATTTCTTCATAACAACAGCATGGGCTTATCATCATCTTCATTTCTGAAACTTAGGAACTTACATTCCATGAAGCTTACATGCTTTACTCTCCCTTGATGTCTAAATTTAAAGGTGCATGTACCAGAAATGTGTGTGTCATATCCACCCAGAATTACTGCCCTTGTCATCACAGCATTCAAACACAACACAGACTTCAGCTGCATAGTGGGGGAAAGAAGGACACCAGCAAAGGACAGAAAAACCTTCCTTAAAATCAGGTGTTATTTCAAAGAGGCTTAGCCTTGGAGACTGCCTCTCAAGAGAGCTCAAATACCCCACATGCCAGTTGGCTCCTGGGAAATGAACTATGCAAGAGACTGGCCTTGTGCTACACCTGCAAAGCAGCCAGACTTGTATTTGTGTTGGGCTCTGTGATAAGGGATTATGTAATGCATGATCTTCTGCACTGCACATCCTAAATTATCCTTGGGATGTTTTCACCACGGGAACTGACAGCCTTTAGTCTTTCTAATTGTCTTTAACAATGTGGATGATCAGCTCATAATTACAGTAAAACAATGTAATAAAAAAATGCACTGAAAGGAAATAATACTGACATTCAACTACTGGCCTCACAGCAAAGACCTAAAAACCAGAGAATATGTAAAGAACCAGAATAGGATCTCAGGATTTTCTGCCATACTGTCCTGTGGAGACAACTCTTTCAATATCAAACTGTGAACCTACATGTTTCAGTAATCTGTTACTACACAAAATGCTCAAATAGTTTATTTATACAGTCCTCATAAAAAAAAAAACAAATCCATGAAAAGCTCCTAAGATGGAAGTCACAAAGGGCACAATCAAACTGAAATTAAACATTGTTTATTCATCCTGATAAAAATCACACATCCAGAAAATGTCATTTTTCCATAGCACGACAGCACGGAAGTACAGATGGACTGGACAGACAGATTTAATAGATCCAGTGCTCCTGAAGACTTCCTTCAACCCCAACAAACAATGGTCAAGCGCACATCTTGTTCCAGCTCCCTTCGGCGATCTGTGTTACCTGTCCCTGCGAGTCAGGCACCTCTGCTGTAATGAACACTTTGTTCTGAGTTGAGCAATAGCTTTATTTAGAACTGATGAGATCTGGCTACAGCACAGACTGAGAAAGAAAGACTTTGCCCGCCTTCCCCCTCTCCCAAACAAAATAAGACACAATCTTTGCTCTAAAATGGGGCAATTACTCTCAGTAAAAAAACAAAACAACAAATTGCTAAAAATACTCCATCATCTTCTTTATAAGAGATCCAGCCATACACAAAGGTATATGTATATAAATATATATCTGTAAGAATACATAAAAAACATTTCAGGTGCAGAACTCTGAATCATTATATTCTAAAGCAGAACTTGTCTCTTACCTTTTTCTTACACATATGTTAAGAAACAAATGACCCTGTGCCTTCTCATGATGACTGCAGCACAATCAGCCAGTTCTGCTGAATCAGGGTGTTCTACTTGATCCTAGAAAATACAAACATGTATTTTATGACAGGTAATTCTGCCACAAACCATGTCCTTTTCAACACGTGACTGCAGCTAGCACAGGCATATTTGGCAAATGCTGCAAGCTTCAGATGATTTGGATTACATCTGCAGCTTTGAATTCAGGGATGTGTGTGCACTATTGCTCTCCAAAAGTCTGGTGAAAAATGCTGCTAATAACAACCACATTGCTACCTACCTGTTATTATTCTTCACTTAATTGTAAACGCTCAGTGTAATGCAGCAACTCCACCTGTCCTTGTATTCCTGATGACCTTGACTGTAACAATTTATAAAACCAGCCTCTGAAATCAATTATATTATACTACAATAGGCCTTCCAAAAATAAAGAGCTAGTAGCTTTGATAGTCAACAAAAATTCACAGCCCTCTGAATTCTGTAAACTGTATTCATCAGCTTTCCACTGATTTTGTTACAGCTAAACAAGTGTTTTTGTCTTCAAATTATTCCCCCTACAATCTTAGGCTCCCTTCATTTCCTAAAGGCTTCTTCTCAGAAGACCCACATCAACCTTCAATAGTATGCAGGACCCAAGAGGAAAAAAAAAATGTAATCTGAAGAAACTTTTGTTCTTCAATCCACAGCATTTCTATAGGTCAGGTGCTCATTTTCTCAGGCTGCATCCTAAGAGCCAACACAGCTCAAAAATCCAACACAGCCATAGGCAGAGAAAACAGAAACCAGTTTATGACAAACAGCGCAAGAAGAGAAGGAATGAGACACATCAAATCCATTTTTTTAAGGTTTGCTAGCTCTGACATTTTGACCTGTTAGGTAGTTGAAATATTTATTAGTACTCTAATGAAGCTGCAACATATGTTAGAAAAAAAATCTTCAAGCTCCAGCAAAATTAACAGTGCTAAAAAAAAAAATCAGTTCTCCATGCATGAAAGCAATATTCAGTGTTACACTAAATTTCTCCCAGGGCTGTTTATTATTCTTTTCAGAAATAAGCTACAGTAATAATTCCAGGAAACTAATGAACTGAACAGCAGCACTCTGAGTAGTACTGTTTTCAAACTAGAATCCCACAGTTTTGGATGCCAGCAGAACTCTTCCTGTATACAAGTGAAATTTCTGATGCTATGTGTATTTCCGCCTCTATAAATGAAAATGAATTTTGGTTATCTGGGAAACAGTAGATGTTATCTTATTACAACATTCTCCAGATAGGCATCACATGCATGCAAAAACAGAAGTGGAGGAAATTCAATTCCACTGAAAGGCTTCAGAATAAGCCTTTTCAAAGGGATGTGAAGTACATGTGGCAGTGGGGAAGGTTTTCTGTACCACCACCGTGTCCCCTCCCAGCCTGTAGTACAGAAAAATGATTCCGTTTTCATGACCCCTTTGAAAAGACAGATCAATTAATGACAATTCTGTCTGTGATTTATGGCAAGGCCTGTCAGCTGCATCACGAACATCACATGAACCAGTCATACATTAACCACAGAGTTCAACCTTCCCTGATCAGAAATGGATCAGCCCTAGCAACCCAGAGCAGAAAGGAGCTCTGCCGACACCCCTGCTCTAAGCCTGCAAACCTTCTAGGCAAGCAATATTCAGGGCACAGCTTTATTATTCATTGTTTTTACTCTGCTCCTCTTTCCTTGTTCCATTCTTGCCAGGTAATGACTTTTTTGTGCGTAACCACTCAACAGAGAAGATCCAATCAATGCCTGCCAGTCTCCAAAGTAAGCTTTGAAGAGATATTACCTGGAGGTCCTGGAGCTTTTTGTTTACAGTTCAACATTTACTCTCAGCAGCTATTTCCCCTTACAAAGATCAATGCAAAAATCAAAGCGTGCTTGCAGATGAATGTAGTATATTTAAACAAAAAGCAAGTAAAAAAAAAGAAAGAAAAGTAAATTATAACATTTGGATTTCATGGAAAAAAAGAACAAGTGGGCAACCCAGCCAAATTCTTTTTTCAGTAAGAATTTAATGTAAGATAAGTATATTTAAATGAAAATTGAGGACAAAAGGAATAACTACAAATGAGAGCCAAGAATACTCACAACAACATATAAGCTAGTTATTATTAGGTTTTCTCTGAATCACACACACTGCTAAAAAAGGGTTCCACCACACTTGTGGAAAATACATACATTTCCACCTAAAAGTTATGGGCCCACTGAGACCTAAGATCCCTGCAAATGCAGGAGGCCCCATGTCCCTGCTGTCCCAGTTTGCTACTTGGAGCATTTCAGTTCCTTATCTCTTCTGCTGGTGGTGGGCTGCACTCCTCTGTCTCCTGCCCTACAGTGGTGTCACTCAGGTGCTGCTTTGGTTGTACCCTACGTGTCTGATTTCCCTCAGGAGCTCCAAGAAGGCGACTACCAATTACTGCAAAAGCAAAACAGAAATTGAAGAGAAATTTGACAAGCAGAGACGTGCTCTGAATAAAGAAAGGATGAAGAATAGAAGGAAAGAACTCCAAAAATACGTAATTAGAAATATCTTCCACAAAAAAGAATGTAAAAAATTTTTACAACATTAAATGAAAGTAATCTGAACTAGGAGAAACTGGAATAGCTTATAATAAATGGAAAGAGACTGAAAAAGAAGCAATTTTGATACTATGGTAAAAAAATGCAAAAAATGCTCAAAGCATGAGGAGATGCTAAAAAATGCTTCCATCTACTGGCAAAGATCCAACTTTTAACTACACTACAGATCCTCTATAATGCGCTACCAGTGAGGAGATGTCTTTGAGTAGGCAGGGAGACATTTGCAGCCATTTTAAGGCATTTTATTATTGCTAGATTAGTTGAACTAGGCATTATCTTAAATGCAAATCCAGATTTCAACACTGGTATCTTCACTTCCTACCTTGTCTACACTCTGGAAGTATCAGATGGGAGATTCACAGACTACAGACAGGGGATGTGTTCAGGCCCCAACTCTGCAAGAAAATACGAACTACAACAAGGAAAACCATAGCAGGGGGTTACATTAACAGGAAATCAGAGTACTTCAACAAGGGGGAAGACAGGTGGAAAGTTTCAGGGCACACATCAGTAAAGTAAAATTAATTCTTTTATCTGATCAATCAGTCTGGAAGCTAAACCTTCATAAATGGAAAAGGGGGTTCTTCACTCAAGTAATGTAATGCTTGGAATAGTGGTGGTTTGCCACACACCAAACAATTTTGTCCCCAAACAGGAGTTCCTTCTGTCTAGCAGGTGCCAAATGAAGGGAAGGGCAGGCGTTACAAAGTGTCTGTGACACTGCAGTAGCAGCATCTGCCACACACCTGAAAATGCCTGCAATGGCAAGGACTTCAGATTAGGCCCCAAATTAATCATTCCAAAATTAAGTGTTCTATTAATAAATGGAAGTAGTAGTCATTCAATGCAATCAGCAAAAAAAAAACTGCTTTCAGAATTCTAAGTTATTAAAGAAAACTCAGCAAATGATACAGATGTTTTTTAAAATACATGGTCTATACCACAGTTCAGATTAGAAAAAATCCAATTGAAACTCACTATAAATCTGTTTAGTAAGAAATACTAAATACAGCAGCAAAAATGAAATGTAACAAATACAAAGAAGATACAGTCACTGCTAATCCTTTCCCTGCACCAAAAGCTCAAGATGACCAAGCATCCTTCAGCTTTACTTCCCATAATTTGCTGATGTTTCTACTACTCAATGTAAATGCACCCAAGAGCAGGCTGGGGCATGGCAGGCTATTTCTGTGTAATACAACACTTGTACCAGCCCACAACCCATGAATGCTGACAAAAGATAAACTACTGCAAGGTTGCATTGGATTGTCTTTTTTTCCAATCAACTGAACAAACAGAGGTGGACAATGCTTAAAGTAGAACACTCTCTCTAATTATTTCACCAATATTTGCATCTTTTCCCTTGACTCTCCCCCATGCCATTTTAAAGCCATTATTTCCACTTTTGTCTCCAGCCAAGTTTCCATAAGGAGACATTCACACATGCCTGAGCAGTAGTAAGGCAGGCAAAAGAGCAGCAACTTCAAAGCAGCATTATAGGAAGTATCACAGTCAAAAGCAACAGGGAGACAAGAACAACTACAGCATTATCAACCTTTGTGCACCAGAAAATAAAAGCAGCTCAACTGAAAAGGACACCTGCTTTATAACCATTTACAGTAGAAATAAAATTCCATTTCCTACCCTTTTTTACTATTTCAAGGAGAAAGCAATTGATTTGTTTTCCTGACACAAACCCCAGCCTTGCCAAGCAGCCTCAGCCTGCTGCAGAGGCCTCAGCACCTGGAGACAGGAACCAGCTCCTGCTTATGTAACTGCCTCTGATGCCTGGAAAAGGATCCATCCCTGCTCTGGGGAAGAGCAAATAGATAGGTTTACACCACAGTGCTGCCTTCCACGCAAGTTTTTCCAGAGGAATACAGCTGGAAAAAAAAAATGTGGTGGTTTATGCATCTAATGTTTTGTAACACTTTGTTTCATGCAGCTTCCAAATTTGAAATACTGTAAAGCACAAAAGGCTAATGCACAGTGCATTAAACATAAATTTAATATGAAATCATGTTTCTTAATTTGTGCATGAGTTCCAAGTAATGTCATCAATGTAACAACATAGTTATTTTCAAAAATTCATCCATTTAACATACTGATCTGAAGCTGTTATTTATCTTTATTCAAACACAAACTAAAGTAAACACATAGAACAAGTAGGTTTATGGGATGATTTTTATGTTTCACTATTTAAGAAGATTTTGACTCTGATGTTTATTTAACACATTTGAAAAATAAAATTATTTAAAGCTGCACATTCTATTCCATAGTGGATTAATCCTGTATTCTAATACTTTATGAATTTTTCTTCTTTGCAATGTAGAGCAGAAACAAGAATCAAACCCAAAGAGACTCAACATTGTTTCACATCTTTCTTAGATTTGGGCAATAAGGGAAGCACTGACTGAGGTCCCCTAGAATCTGTAATTAAAAGCCTACAACTCCTAAGGAACTGTCCTTTTTTATAAAGCTCATGTGGGACTGATACTTGCGAGTGCCAGTGAGCAAAAGCTGATCATAAAAGCCAGAACTGCCACACAACCAGAATGGGACAGACCAAAAGGAAAATGGGCAAGAAGGGAAAACTGCTTTGCTACCATTTACCAGCCCATCAATTCCGAGTTGTACCCACTGGGGAGAGAAGCTGCTGGAAGCAACACAATTTATACATTCAGCTGCCCTTCAGAGATGGACCATCCGAACAGGCAAAAACTCTGAAAGACCACTGGAAAGCAGTCAGGCACCTACTAACGGTACCTTTATCAACAGGCTTTGTTTCCTGCACTCCTGTGGTCATCTCTGCTCATCTGATAACTGTGCCACACAACAGCGTTCTAAATTCTGACATACCTTTTGAAGAAATATAAATTATAGACACCAAACGGTTACTATTGCTCAAATCCTATGTTATGTAAAGCTGGATTACCATACATCCCTGAAATAAATATGGACTTTTATCTCATACTGTCTTCTCCCTGAAATTATCTCTAAGTAGGTAACTTAATTCCCATTTCGTGTAGACCTTTATATTCATATCACACCAAACACATTATAAAACACTGTTGTCAAGCGTAGCAAAGTTCCCTCCCACGTTTGTGATCATGATCTAACTAGCATCACTGCTGATGCTCACAGTGCATTATGTCTTAAGTCATCTGTAACTAGTAACTCATTTGATACAACTCAATAATCCATGGCAACAGTGCGTACTGAAACTGCTATTTCTGAGCACACACCTCATCTGTGCTCAGGGCCATTAACATGCTTGTAACAGTGCTGAAGGGACTGAGCACTAACCACCAGAAACAGGCAGGAACTTGCATTTAGGTTTACTTGCACTGCAAAGCTTTTTCTTTTCGCTGATATTCTGTGCCACTGAGGCAATCAGGACATCTACCTGAAATTTATGCTGGGCTCCACGGAGTTTTAGTTCTAATACTAAGTGCCCGTAATTCTGTATCTCTGTTAGCAGTCACAGGAAATAAAGGCTTAACAGACAAAACCCAAAAACATCTGAAAACCTTCCTCATTGATGAGTTACAAGTGTTAATTCAGTTATCAGAAGTCTTACAGAGCTGTAGAACTCTAAATTCTTCTAAACTCAGCTGCAACATTTCTCAGATAGATCAAAACTGAGAAACCTCTGCCACTTCTGTCCACTGATAAAATGGTTGATTCAGCTCAGCCATGAATCCCCACCTCTTTACCCCTCCTTCTTTGCCTGTAGCATACTCCTGTTTTCTTCATCCGGAGGGCTCCTTCCCCCCTCTCACATTCCTTCCCCATTCACTTCTTGCTGCATCCATTTGTTTTCTCCCTACCTAAGCTTTCTTCTTTCTCTGACAAAAAAACCCCAAAAACATACAAAACCTCATGTTCCAACATTACTGTTCATAACTGGCATAAACATACTTGTGAACAACCTTATTAACCACATGACATTAAGAATAGTGGGAGCAAAGCTAATAGCAATGGTGGTCCATGCACTTTGCAAACAGAAATTGAAGTCTTCAGAGGTTTGGCCATCAAAAAAGAAAAAAAAAACAAAAAAAAAAAAAGAAAAAAAAAAAAAAAAAAAAAAAAAAAAAAAAAAAAAAAAAAAAAAAAAAACACCCAAATGGCTACAATAACAGCCATAAAACACTGTTCTAACTGCCAACCTGCCTCCTACCCCTCCTCATCATTACTGACCATCATTAAGCTCCTTCACAAATTCATTTAAACCCCCAGCCTTGTAGCTTGAAATGCATTTTGTGACACATATACACAGTGGGTATGCAACATCCAGGACCACTTCCCTCAAGCATCTCAGTATTTGAAACCTCTAGCCAAAACAAGTTTTATTAACTACACAGGAGGCACTACTGCATGTTTCCTCAAATTAGAAGGTACAATTACATCTAAAAGCCATCTGTACAGAAATGAAGCTTAATGAAAAAAAAAATATATATATATAGCCACAAGGGGCATAAGAGGAAATTAATAAGGGAATAAAACCACTACATATACACCTATCTATTGTCCATGAGTTTCAAGAAACAATTTCTAATTGGCATCAAAATAAACCCCACATTCATTCTACATGAGTATTCAAAAAGCAAATCTATGAGCAAATTCCAGAGATGGGTTAAAAGGCATTTTACAAGTGATTTGTTAAGTGAGACCAAGGTAAATACAATATAGAAGCTATTAAGCCAGCACACCAATACAATTATTTGACAGCAGAAAAGCACACAGGTGGACTGATGCTTAAGTAACAACCTTTTAAAGTTACATTTATAAAAGAATCAAGAAAGAACTGTGAAGCCCATTAAATATGCTGGGGTTTTATGCAGCCTTCATCATTTATACAAAAACACAGTATGAAATTACTACAATCAATGCAATTTGGTGTTTCAGCTAAGAGGCTGTTTCAATATATATGCTATTTAAAGTAATCTGTTAATAATATAACCAAAGAAGTGGGCTTTGCACGTACTTTCAAGTTCACTAAATAAAAGACCATTAAAATACTCATTTTGAATTAACCAATACAGCATTTACAATGTACCTTTGTAACACAGTGACAACCAATATGCTCTGCTGGACTGGCAGTGTGGTTGGGCCAACAGAAACAGCAGCTGTATACTGGATATAGCCCAAAAAGGGTGTAAATAAAAAATAACCTGTGCCTTTCTCTTCAAAACACAAGCCTCAGAAGCAAGCTGTTTCCAAGCCACAGCATGTATTTCTACAGTATCACAATGCAATTTCAAAGCCTGTGGGATAAATGAAAAAAAAAAAAAATCACAAAGAGGGAACCTTCCTCTTACATTATCTTAATTCATATTAAATGTTCATTTATCTGCACTACAGTGCAGATAAGGAATAAAAAATTACATTGGCATGATTGCCTGGGTATATTTTAACTATGTAGCTATTTTGTCTCCTCCAGCCGACAAAGAAAGCTCAGTATTCAGAGCCTCAGTAATATGAACAAGAGGACTTACACACTGATTTAGTGTTCAGATGCTGCCACTTTTCAAGTGGTATATCTTTAATCTAATCTCCTATAGAAATTAAAATTATGATATTATATTGTTCATTTAATATTCTTTATGCCCATATTTTAATATATATATCTGTCATGAAAATCTACACAGTAAAAACAAATCCAAGTGACTGCCCTCCAAGGGAAAAGCAAGCTGCTCTATGTATTTTGGCAGCAACCTGCTGGGCAATCAATACCCACACAGCTCTGGAAAAAATCCCCAGAATTATGGTGTTATGAGAAAGATGGGATTAATGCAGAG